AACACACAACACGTGGGTTGTAATACAAATTGATTTCAATCAACTAAACAAATAATTTCGATTGTAACAACTGCCATCTATTCAGCAATGGCAAAATTAGTGTATAGTAAAGCGCTCAGGTGGATGTCTAAGGAAGTAAACAAAAAAAGCGGGTAACTGTCAAAATATTTATCTAAACGTAGTTGTATCTATAGAGTAAGGAGGGTGAGTGTAGACTCACAGCACTTGGGCCACATGTGACCCATTGTACATCCTCCTGAGGAGTTGTCCTCCTAGGTCATTGTCAATCCTGTCCTTTCCAGGAAGGTAAACAGGTCACTAGGAGACATCTCCTTCATATTGGCAGGTGTAGGCCAAGACTCGCCGAACACACACTCTCTTTGGAAACCTTGAAGTGTCTCACGGTGGCCTCCGCGAAGGTTTTGGAAGGTGCAGTGATATTACTGTCGTTGCGCGGCTTCTTCAGCCTTCTTGGGGTTCCCTCCGTGGAGGTGCACGAGTGAGGGAGCTTTCCTGCAGAGGTAGCCGATTCCCTGCCTTTATTCAAGGTGGAACTCTTGGCGCCCGCCGCAGGAAGTGCCCTTGCTGTTGAAGGTGATCTGATGTCCAGCCTCAATCCAAGCGGTAGATTGGGGTGGACATTTCTGTTCATACCCAGCCACCGCCCCAGATTGTGGTGAGCACTTCTGTCCAGCCTCGGGATTGGTTTTTGTTTTTGTTGTTTCTGTTTCTGTGTTGTTTCATTCATGAGTGTTCCCACGAATAGTAAGGGAAGAGTTGGTCACTTCTGGCAGAGTCCCGTATTACCAGAGGTAGGCTGATTACAATGAGGTTTCGCTTGGTTCCCCAAGGGGATCGTTCGTAACCACATATCACCCTTCCGCCATTCAGCTGTTGGCACGATTCCTTACACCTTAGCTTGGGTAGACTGGTCCACGGTGGCATGTTTTGCATAGGCTTTTTGATGGTATTAGTTCCCCTCACCCTACTTATTTCTGCCACTGACCAGGAGTCCGGCGACCCCGTCCGTAAGGCCACATTGGCTTCCCGGACAGGGCCTCCAGTCCCCTGGCCATTCCTCTATCCGCCACCTGGGGACGCGCCCGATAGGTAGCCCAAAACACAGGAAACGTAGTTGTAATATGTGACGGAAATCTCGAAACGCAGCAAAATGACTTCAAAATCTCGTTGCTTATCCCTCCACCGCGGTCGATGCGTCACAGTCCTCACTTAGCGTATTGAATTCTTTGACGATTTAGCTATCCGGTGATGTAATTAAAATTTGTATGGATGTAATAGATACGAAGCTACGAAACCAAACTGCATTCCCCTATTTTGGTTATCATTCAACATTTCGAAATGCCTTCCCCTATGGAAGCAATTTCAAAGACGTATTCACGTGTCTGAAGTTGCAGCAAAAATTGACCCTTGTGCTACACCAGCGATGAAAGTAATTAGTTCAATTTGCAGGGATGCTTTTATCGGTAATACCATCAACAGCACACTCGACTGGATTTATCGACTTTCATGAGATTGTCATCTCATCCTCAAAAAAAAAGGAATTTTCCAAAATGTGATTAATATTCACATAACATTAACCGTACTATTCAATACATTTTTCATAAAGCTTAAATATTTCTGAACATTATAAAATATTGGCAATATCCACATTCCAAAAGTTCGAAATAGATTTTACGCAAAAAATATCTCCTGCATTAAACAATTTACTTTAATCTTTGATGTGCGGCAAATTCGAAAATATTTACTTTAAACAACTAATTTTCTACTCCACACACCAACGTTTTTTGGGAAATAGTGTAATATTACTGTGGTAGAATGTATAGTTGATTGTACAGGACCGTTGCGCTTGATTTTTGCAAGGAGATGCCCAAGTACTGCAAAAAAGTTCTAACTGACGTGTATATACGAAAGTAGCGAATTACGTTGGATTCAACTTGCTGTAAATTATATATCCATTTGGAAAAACGATGTCGAGAAGTTTGATCCACAAAGATGCCGTTTTCCAACTGAGAGAGTTCTTTAAAGTGTGGTTCAAGTTGTATTGTATTGAACCTCGATAAGGTCAATAGAATCTCTGAGGAACGTGAATTATTATTGACTAAAATTGACGAAAAATTGGGCGTCTCCACGTTTGTTGACAGTTTCGTTGTTTAGTTGATATCTACATTGAAGTCCACATACTGTGGGTAGCCTTTGATCGGTAGCCTTTGATTGCTTCTGGGATTTGTCTCTTTCGATACCACAAAAGACTGTTCAACTAAGATTTTCACAATACTTGGCTTTCTTCACAAGAGGGTGACGAAAAATCTACGTGTTCCAAGTGCAAAAATTTGAAGGGATTTTCTCTAAAAGGCAGATTTAGAATCAAATTTAAAGTTACCATATATTTTTCTCTTGATGCAGTCATTGTTCACTGTGGTTCTAGCGTTGAATTTGGCCATTATTACGCATTGATCAAAGATGAAACAGACTGGTTTAAATTTGACGATAGTCGTGTCACTAAGTGTTCTGGCGATGTCTTGAATTTATTGGAGCCTCTGGAGATACCCTACATTTTGTTTTACGAAAGAGAGAGGACATTGGCAAATCAAGATCTTCAGATGATGTGGTGCTGCAGGTTTTTCCGGGTTTTCCTGCAGCTGAAAAAGCAAACGCGCCACTGGAATCAATGAAGTCGCCCCGGAGCGCCAATTGATTTTTGTTGTTTCATAATTTCATGATTTGTATTACTTTCTTCTCTAATATAATTCTTTTCTCTTCTCTGGTTCCTGGAAAGTTGTAACCAAGTGCATGATTTTTCGTTAAATTGTTTTAGGGCAGACGAAGCTTATGTGAACAGTGCCGGCATTTTTCAACCGCTATAATTCTTATACTTGGGCACAACAAAATCCTCGTTTTATTGTGGAACAGAGAAGTCAAGGGAGACTTGGATTTAGTATGTGGGCAGGTGTTTTTAGGGGTAGAATTATCGGCTCATTCATTTATAATGGCACTCTCGCATCTCAGAGGTATTTATAAATTGTAAGGCAAGATATTGAACCTCTTGTGATTAGTGGAGCCCTGAAAAATAGATTTTCAACAAGATGAAGCTTTGCCTCACAACACTGCAATTGTCACCAATTTTTTGGCTGCAAATTTTGGTAATAGTCAACCAAGGTCCCAACCGTTGGCCGGCCGGGTCACCAGACCTAGCGCCTATTGACTTTTATCTCTGGGAAGGTTTAAAGATCTTATTTTCAAATTGAAGACCAATTCTAGATACGAATTGGAAACAGCAATGATGCAAAGTTTTGCTTCTCTCACTCCTATTGACCTAATTAATTCGGCAAAAAAAGGTTCAGAAAAGGTGTCGTCTGCGTATATTTGAAGCTGGTAGACATTTCGAATACCTTCTCTGAAGAAATATATTTGATTGTTTGTTATTTATCATTATTTTTATTATTGTTGAAGTTTCATTTATTAGTAGTGAATACAGTATAAACTGTCATCACTTTTATTGAAACTATGCGTTTTAATTACTGCTGTGAAAAGCTTTCTCAACATTTGATAGCAACTACTGAACAATTTTTTTCTGTTTTATAGCCGCGTCGCGTCGTTCAAAGCCTACTTGATCAAAGTGTGCATTTCAAAGTCTACATGAAAAAACCAAAGCTCTGTATTTCATAGATGGCTCTAGCAAAACATCAAATGTGCTACATTTTTGGAAAGGTAATTTTAAGCTCTATTGAATCATGTAGAAATATGCATGTTTTCATAGAAACAAGAAATTTTGTGAGGAAAAAAGTTACTGCAATTTTTCGAAAATGCACATGCTGTAACTAAGAAACGATGATAGATGTGGTTTTCCCCATTAACTTTGTCATAAAATTTGACCCAGGAGTTTCAATTTGGCCAACTCTGTACAACTTTCTTGTTCGAAATAATGTAATAAACTGTCTAAGGCAACTAATATCGGCAAATAATTCACCACCAAACACATTAATGAAAGTAATTAGCCACACTCACCTTCTCATGAAAAACTGATGCTTGGGTTTTTCAGCATTAAATTCTACTTGGTTACTGACACTTCAAGCTGAAATCTCTTCCTGTTGCATCTAAAAGAAAGGACTTGTGCTATCATAAGAAAGTATTACATATATTAGATTTCTAGTCTTTCTAATAAATTGCTCTTTGGGAGTCATCTGATTTGTTCATTGCTTTCAAGACTTTGAGAATTTTACAGCGTCCTCATTTTTCCTCCCATCTCTTCAGGATACTCGTCCAGTTTCTTTTTTTTGTATTAGTTTCTACAGGTCCTTTATTGAATGGTTATCATAGTTAGACATGATTTAGGATGTCCATAAATCATTAGCCTCCGTGATCCAGTGTCTCACATTCGCATGTCTCTTCATTGCCTCAGCTGCAGATAAGATTTCCTTTATACAACCTTTTTTTGTTCAGGTATCCTCTGAATAAACAGTGTTGTAACAGATCTTTAGTTCACCAGAAGATCTCGGTACCTCCGAATTATGAATTCGTTAAGTATTTCAATTAAATCAGAAGTATATGAAACTATTTCTATTTCCGGACACACGTTTCAAAATTTGGAGAAGATATTTTGAAAATTTTTGACAATGAGATCCGACTGAAATTAAATCCTCTTTGAAATACTGCTGTCAAATATAAAACTCCGCCATGCCATGAGGCAGCTAGATTCTACCAAGAAAAGAGTCATTCGCCTGACTGAAGACCCATACAATACAAGCTTTGATGGTCTGAAACTTCTCTCAAGAGAAGTGACAGCCCATTCTACCCAGAGCCATACATGTTAAAAGTGAGCGTTGTTACAAAATACAACAGTCTATCGCTTCTAGGTTCAACTTGAAATACTCCGAACTACACTTTTTAAGAACATATCAGCTTTGCTTTAGCTGTTAATGATCTTTGACCAAACTATATGAATAAAAATCAGTTGACGTGATGGGTGTTTTTCTTTTCAGCAAGCACAATTCCGAAGAGAGAGGTCTATGTCTGATGGCGCTGCCTCCAAATTGAAAGAAACCGATTCATCCTTCGAGGTTTTCCCGAGTTTGCCAAACTCCGTTCTGGAGAAAATGGGACTTCTAGGAGCCGGTCCACGGTGAGTAGGTATAACTGTTTCAAACAGTTGGTAAAGCAATACTAACGGGTAATATGAATTTAAGTTCCTCGCCGTGTTTGTCTAGCGGACTGTATGAACGCGACAATCGTAAAAACCACCAAACTAATTTCTAGATGGTTTTCACTCGTGAACGGAGTGATTCATGGGTAGGTATATTTTATTGATGTTTTATGTGAATTAGTTGAAACATGACGATGTTATAGACCCCGCGTTGAAGACATAATCATGAATAATTTTCAATTTCATCTATTCCATCAGTTTAATCTTCCTCTTGAAGATAATCACTTGGTGATCGAAACACGTGTCGAGGTGTTAAAATAACGGTTTGGTGTTGGGATAAAACTCCAGTAAAATCAATTCCATCTATTGTGAAACATCCAGGAATTATGTATGAAATTAGTTTCAACGATAGCTTCATGTGAAATTTGACTTCAACAATAATGGTTTCCTTCGATCAAGATGAAAAAACAAAGAACTGAAAAGTGTAGGAGTTATTAAAATAAGTTTTCTAACGGTAATTTTGTAAATTTCGCCACTGTTGCAAAATAGGGCTCAACTCAACCTATCTTGATAACGTTAAAAATGTTGATATCGTTTTATTCCAGACACATTTTTTTTCAAAAAGTGCCCAAGTAAGTGTGTGTTTCACTAGTTCGGACTTCCATTGTCTACTATATAAAATGATTTTAAATTCCTGAAACAACTAAAAAAGAAAAATTAAAAATGAATAGCTGAAAATAACAATTATATTAAGCAAAATAAACCTGAAATGAAATAATAGTGAAATAAAATACAAGTAAAATAGAACAATTGAACAAAAATGAATAAAAATAAAGAAATGAAAAAAGAAAATAAAAATAAAAAGTTGAGAGATTCCAAGTCACGTTAGTTCACGACGTTTCGATTGTTACTATCTACAATCGTCTTCGGGTGGTGACGATTGACGAAGACGATGAAACATTGTCAATCACCTTCAAATAAATGTGTGTTTTTCGACAAAATCAGTATATAGTTGATTAGCAATCAGAAAGGTGGAAATGCGTTCAATTGTTATATTTTCATTAAATTAAAAGGGATATATTTTCAGGAGAGATTATTTGTTTGGCAAAAAAAGTTTTGGCTTTCTACTTCTCCATCTTTATACAAAAAGATACAGGAAACCTCTAAAAAAAAGGAAGGAAGGAATGAATTTTACAAAAACTAACTATATAAAAAAGTGTGTTTATCATGTAAATGAGTAACTTCCAGACACAATAAACACATATAAGTAAACATTGAGTTACACGAATTTTCAATGGTTATATCTCAAGTGCAATAAGTTCAACCCCTTAAAATGTTTGCAAATTCATAATTTTCTAAATTTTACTGAGCAGATTACTTGAGTGCATAATAATTTGGTTAGATATTTCATACGAAATTATCATACACGAAACATTATTTGCCTAAAAGCAAAATTTCGAAATTCATGGAATTGTACGTCTAAATTGACATCGATATTAAATATATATTAAGATTATTTTCAGGAAAAGGAAACGATACTATAAACTCAAAATTGTTATGTCTGCTATTACTATTATTATTAGTGTTGTGCTTCGATTGTTCTGAGAAGACCTGCAGCAACATAATCGCAATATCAAAATTAATTGAGGAACATTATTTTGAAATGAACCACAGACAATGTAATGACGCCAGTTCCTTCCCCAGTTCTTCCTCAGTCATTCAACGTCGATATTCAACCAGATTTTGAGACGGTGCCTTGGTCATCAAAAAGACTGAGGACACAGTAATTATGTCATCTAGAAAATGACCGTGGATTAAATCCACTGATGATACCATAAACACGTGTCCAGACACTATCTCGTACGTGTTGGGGAAAAGAGTCAATATCTATTTTATAACAACATTGCAATGTTGATAGTTATAAAATGATTGTTTGAAAATTTTCGTTTTTCGATTTTCGTTGATAACTTAATTATTTTTGGTTCTACCACGAAAAGTCACAGGACTGGAGTTGAACAGAATTTAATTTTCAACGAAAAAGGTTTTTACTAATTTTCTATGCGACCAATAGTTTGCCACAGATGAACCACAAAAACTATCTGCACCCTTTTTTTCAAGATGAAGGCAGCGGGACAAGGGTTTCGACCCTACTATCTTCACACTAACCTCCTTGAAATCTAAAAATAAAATTTCGTCCACTGATAAATGCAACCTTGATGTAACTTTCCAGTGACTAATTTGTTTAGTTTGAAAACTAAATGAAGGCATGCAATTATGCGTTCAAAAAATAAGGTGAATGTTCATCAATTTCTATTGTCTTCTTCAAAGTAGTCCCTCTCAGATAGTATACACATGTCTTAGGTTTTTCCAATCCTCTAAGCAGTTCTAATATGCACCTTTTGGAATAAGAGTCAATCGTCCCAAAACGCTACCCTTTCATGGGTCTCTTCAATTTCGGAAGCAGAAAAAAATCGCAAGAGGGCAAATCTGGTGAATACGGTGGCTGAGGCAGAATTACGGTGTTGTTTTTTCCAAAAAATTACGAACAAGCAACGACGAGTGAGCAGGTGCATTATCGTGATGCACAATACCGGAAGTTTTCTTAGTATTGCTTCTCGCATAACTTCGAAATAATACTCCTTATTGATCGTATGACCAAGAAATACCGATGCAAAACACCACGTTAATTGAAGAAAATAATGGGCAAAACCTTGATATTTTATCGAACTTGGCGTGCGTTTTTGGTCTTGGCTCTCCTGGGCTTTGGTATCGATGTCATACCCATATACCCATGATTCATCACCAGTTATGACCCTTTTAAACAAACCTGGATCGCCGTTGACTCATGCGACGAATTTTTTGATCAAAATTCGGCAATTTAGGTACGAACTTCGCTGCCATACGCTTCATGGCCAAAATTTCCGAAAAAATTGCCGACATCCTCAGTAACTTCTGTAATGGTGTTTTAACGAATCGTCCTAACAATTATTTCAATTTTTTATCGGTTGTTGATGTTCTGAGGTGTCCAGCGCGAACATGGTCATTCACATCTTCTCGATCTTCTGTAAGCAGGTTTGTTTGAAGGTGGTTGACAATGTTTGGTGATGCATTTCATTTGTTCGCACTTCCGTTGTCTAATATGATATAAATTGATTTGAAATCCCTGAAAGAATCTGTCAATAATTAAAAAAGATTATCTGAAAAATAACAATTATACCAAGCAAAAAAAACCGAAATTGAAATGAAATAAAAATTAAAAATTATAAGATTCCAAACCAAGTTACTTCACGACGTTTCGATTGTTAGTATCCACAATCGTCTTTGGGTGATAACTGCACGGGAGTTGGTCGTGTTCCGCTTGATAAGAGGTTTCGATATGTTACGTATCTCTACGCTAGCTTGGCTAAATGCGTTGTTGGACAACATATATGTAGCTTATTTGTATTGTCTCCTAAACCAGTGTTGGATGAACCTTGAGGATGATTTCAGCTTGAGCCCACTTGATGTTATGTTGATGAGTGCAAACCTGCTCTGCTATTCCTGATTTGCTGGTTTCCCCTCACTGTGTGTGTTTCTTGTGCTCGGCAATGCGAACTTTCAATGGCCTCTTAGTTTCATCGATATATGATTCTCCGCACTCGTAGGGTATCCGGTAAATGCAATTCTTTGAATCGCAGTCCGCGTTTGGTGGCCTGGTTTTCGTGAGACTGTTACGGATAGTGTTCCCAGATTTGAAACAGGTTCTGATGTTATACTTGGACCCAATTCTTCATATTCTTTCCGACAATCTTCTGATGTAGGGAAGTACAAGTACTGGTTGTGGCGGCTTCTCTTCCTTGTGGAGCTCTTGCTGTCACTTTGGAGTAGCCATTCCGTTGAAGGTCATTTTTGATGATGCCACGTTTCTTTTCAAGACCTTCCTTTGTATTACATAGCAAAAGCACGGTCCAGTAGAGTCTCAATGATTCTTCTCTTAGTCGATTGATGATGGTTGGATTCCTGGTTCAGATACTGTCCTGTGTAAGTGGGTTTTGGATATACAGATATTTCCCATTAAGTGTCGGTCCTCTTCCCCAATACGTCTAGGAATGGCAAATCGTTGTGGACTTCCTTCTCCATTGTGAAATTTATGGAAGGACTTACGTTGTTGATGTGCCTCAGGAAGGTGTCTAGTTCTGCATTCCCATGATTCCATATTATGAAGGTGTCGTCCACATATCTCAACCAGATTCGGAGCTTCTTCAATGGCCAGAGTTTCAAACCAATCCATACATATGTATACATATATTGGCTATAACCGGTGAAAGTGGCGATCCCATTAGCAGTCCCTCATCTTGCTTAAAGAATTCGTCCTTCAGTTGGAAGTAGCACTTTCCTACACAGCATCCTAGTAATTCCATGATTGCTTGTATCGGTAAGTTTGTTCTATCTTTTAGGTCCCCATCTTCGGATAGCTTCCTCTGTATTATTAGAAGTGCTTCTTTGGCAGGAACGTTGGTGTAGAGGCTTTCTACGTCGAAACTGATCAGTTGATCCTACTCTTTGACTTCGATTGCCCCTAGTAGTTCAACAAAATGTCTTAAATTGTTCACAAAAGATTATGTTTTCCTTGCAGTGGTTTAATTATTGAGTGGCTGAATCTCTGGAGCTAATGATTTCTTTGAAATGATTTCAAATCAATTTATATCATATTAGACAATGGAAGTCCAAACTAATGAAATGCTTCTGTGAGAAGCTTGTACCACTTCGAAACAGTTTTCTAACTCAGAGTACAATCACATTAGGCCACTGTCAATTTCCTATCGATCGCCCCGTTTAATGAGGTATCACTCGATTTCTATTAGTATCTCAAAAAATTGGGGAATTACCTATCACTTAGAAGGAAAGTTCTGCAATCGTTTCTGGGTCAAAACTCCTTCCCTCCACAACCTATACGATTAAGATGACTCACCCCGTATGTACAGGTATTTCAATTACGTACAGCAATGAGAGTAAGGAAATTGGAAATGTTCGTGTAGACAATTGAGCATGTAGGTACTTACAACAGGCATGCTCTTGTTTACTGGCCAATTTCCAATAATTTCTTCAATAAATAAAAAGTTATTGAACATTCAACTTTGCTGAATAATGATTGAAATGTGTCTGTCGGTTTGGAATTTGTTATTGAAAGTTTGCATCGTGAAATTTCCAGTTGGGATATGTTTTGAAAAAGAATGTAGATTTACTGAAATATGTTCTGTTGAACATCTCTGACTGGTACAATATAATTTCTGATTAATATGTACTCTTGAACAGTATTGAAAATTATATTTTATTTTTGTTTCATTACTATGGAATGATGATCAATATTGATTGCATTTTATTTGCATTGAACCTGCAATGCAAATAAAACTCAACAATAAATTATCATCTAGTCATGACGGGTTCCTTAGTTTAATTTTGAGAAAATATATAGTGTTCCTAATCGATTAACTTGTCTTCAACAATAGGATTCTACCCAGATATGCATAAAACTAACAATAGTAGCCATTTATAGAGAAGGTGACTCCCGATTCATGAAATATACTTCCATTAGTGTACTGTCCAGCTTTTCAAAAATATTCTAATATTCATGGAATAAGAAATATCCTCATCAGTGGCGCTGTAGCTTCCTCGATTCAAGAAACCAGTATGTTGCTATAGAAGATGTAACTTCCTCCAAGCAAAAAATCCTTATCGGGAACCTCGAGGTTCATTTTTGAGCCCAATTTTGTTTAAATTATATTTTGAGAACAAATTTAGACAGATCATTTTTTGCCATTTTCCGGTTTATAAGCTGTGGTTTGTATGTTTTTGGGACTAAAAAAATATTGTCTACAACATAATTTCTATTAATAAATTGATGGATGTAGCCGTTACTTTGTGGTAGGAAATCATAATGAAGAAAAGAGTTTCTATTTTTTAACACTTTTATTTGTAACTAACGTTACTGCAGTTTATTCCTATAAGAACATTTTCAAACTCATACATTAAACTGAAAATGATGATATTAGCCCTTATAGAACACCACTGTAGATAATAATAGAGGTATTTAGCTTGATTGAGTACCTGGGGATATATTAATATGTAATTGAGTTTACGGCTTCATTTTCTGACTAACTTGAAACCATTATTATGGCCTATCTATGTAATTATATCAATTTCCCTAGCAGACAAAGACAGTGAGAATGCTCTGTGCATCATTGAATTGTAGGCTGTATATCCCCAGATCAAACAATCAGAAATCAAGAAATGGGTAACTCTAACATATTTTGGTAAAAGAACAGAGATGATAACGGGTTTCTTCAGAAAAGAAAAACGGGAAGTGGCATTCAGACCACATGTCAGGTTATCTGATTTCCTTTTCAATGCCAAAGATAAAGCGGACAAGTTGGAGAAATCTGGAGTTTATAAGCTTACGTGTCCGGAGTGTAATAGTGTTTATGTGGGACAATGTGGTCGAAATTTCCAAAAACGGTATGCTGAACGTGAAAGATCCTTCAGACTATAAACAAAAATGATTCGACGTTTTCAAACCATTCCTTGGCATGCAACCACAAGTTCCCGAATCTCAACGATACGGAAATTTTGCTATATGCAAGGAAGGGTTGGTCGGTAGCCAAGCGGTTCGGCGTGGGTAATTTCTTCACTCACTCGAATTGACTGCCGTATTGGTCGTTGGTTCAAGCCCTAGTCTGAACGATCGATCTTCACTTGCTATCGCCCAACCCGTGTTAGGAATCACACGTTAAAAGGCAAGACCTCGTTAATCCTTAGCTCGCACAAGTTTCGACTTCTGAGGGTTGTCGTTTGTAGGGGTGCGACAGCTGGTTAACGGAAAAACAGATTTTAAACAGATTTTTCAACAGATTTAAACTCAATTATTTGGAATCCTTGGAATATCACAGGCATAAACATTGCGGGTGCAACCTAGTTTACTCATCGGTTTTCAAATTAGCATATCCACATTGTCACTAGTAAAACAAAATTCAGGTACTCAGTCAAGCTGAGTACCTCTTTTATTACCTACACGGGTGCTATATAAGGACTAAAGTAATCAATCATTTTCACTTATGATGCACTGTTTGGAACCTTTGGTGTAGTAATGAATATTACTGGAGTTTTTTCCCAACACCAAATCATTATTTTTAACACCTCGACACGTGTTTTGATCACCAAGTGATCATCTTCAAAGAGGAAGATTAAAAAACTGGTTTTTTAAGTGTATAAGTATAGGATGAAACTGCAGTAACGTCAGTTACTTTATTTAATTTATACAATAAAAGTGGTAGAAGTTTCAATTCTCTTTTCTTCATCATAATTTCTATTCTTATCAATGGTATTCTCTATGATCCTACATAACACATAATTTTATCGGTTCAAAGGAAATAATTGCTATGTTTTGGTTGCCCAGCCTAAAATTTTTTTCGTAATTTCATCAGTTCCATCGTCATTTTTCTCGTATATTCAACCGGTCAAGATATTAGTGTACCTACCATATATAGACAGATCGTCAGACTAATAACGGTCCTTTGTGGAACAAACAGTTTAATACATATTACTGATCCACAGGCCAGAAATCTTTTTTTCTGCATTTTGAACTATCAACTGACTGATTTGGAATGAGAAAATATGTTAATAACAAACATTATCATATGATTACCGTTTTGTGTGAAATCAAGATACTCTGTATTCTGCATAAAAGGTGATAGTCTTGAAACCTTTCACTATTGTTGAAAATTTTGTTTTGTCTGGGTTATATTTAAGGAGACCATAGGTCAATGACAAATTGCTAATTCGGATACTGTTGAACAATTAAGATTTGTTTTTTAATTTGTCTTAGCTAAGATACATATCTTTATTTGTTTCAATTATTCATATCATAATTCATTTGAGAAATATCGAGTGCAACATAGAATATTTACGCAAATTTTGGTGGTTATGTCATTTTTTCAATCTGCTTATAAAATAGGCTGTGATATATCCTTTAATATTTGTTGAGATGCATTTGGTTTCAAAACAGCTTAAATAAAACGTATACGTACCCTAATACTCTTTTCATTTCAACGTATAGTCTGATTTACAAGCAAAAAAATTTGGCAATCATAATAATAATTGATAAATTATTGTTGATGATACGTACGAGGGTGGTCTAAAAAGTTTCTGACCTGTGTTAGCGAAACATGTGATATATTTTTCAAATAAAGGGTGTGGAGATCAAATCGTGAGGAGTACTTTTTAAAATTACTATGGATCTTCATCAAGTAATGGCCGAATCAATCAGATAATTTTCTATAGTTTTTATTCCTGGCCTAGTTCAACCAGAAACGCTAGTGCATTTGAAAATATAATTTTCCAATTAAGTTTCTGAGAACACTTCAGTAATATATGCGTCATATTGTCACTGAAAAAAGGTAGTGCTTCATTTTATTTTTCAGCGGTCCATTGAGCGAGGAAGAACTTGAACAGAAATTTACTAGCTTAGCACTAGCTTTCACCATAGATGCAACTACAGTAAAAGATAGATACGAACGACAAAGGCGATGTAGGGACCAAACAGAAATGAACTTGTCCAAAGAGATTGAACGGCTCAAAGAAAAACTGTCTCTCATGCAACCTCTATGCACAGATTGTGAAAAGGCTGAGCTACTCGCATCGATTATGACCAAGGTGAGATCGATTTAACTGGTAATTAGCTACCATATAAGTTTATAATCATTAATACTTTTTTTCATCAATCTAGTTGTTTTGTTTAAGTCCATAAAAAACTGGATGCAAAGTTCTGTCTTTCATTTTGAGTATACAGAGAGCCCTCTGCAGTTTCAAAATATTTTGAAGATTGATTCGGTTTTTTGAGTCACTCAGAGAACACGCATGTATGTTGTTTATTTTCTCAAATAAATGATGTAGTCCTCAAATATTTCAAACAGGGAGGAAAATTTTTTCAAACTTCATTTCTTATGAATGATAATGAAATGTCAATTATAGTATGAAAATTACCTGAAATTTCAACCTCCCTATTGACAGTAATAATAATAGCAATAATCCCTAGAAAGCATTGTATACTCAAATTTGGACAACTGAAAAGTTCTCTGTGTGAGAAATTGGAACCAAGGGAAGTAACGATCCATTCATTCACCAGATACCGCCAAGGGTACGTTTTCAGGCAAGTTTGAAGTTCAGTCGTTCTCGAATTCGTTAAATGAAGCTTCATTTGTTATTCCACGCAGTTTTTAAAGCTTCATATGAAGTAATGTTTTGTTGAAATCAAATTTTCTTCCTAAGAACAACACACAAAGCCCTACAGGAAAGTCCTAAAGGCGCTCTGAGAGCGGTGCCTGTGCGAAAGTGGAGATTCACGTTGGATTTGAATCGCTGGAGATTGAATCCATTCGGAAAAATGTTCTCATGAGGTTTATTCCACATAAACGCAGTTCTCCAAATGAAGTAGTTCTTAAACAGTGAAGTTCGAGGTGTACTGAGTTGAACCTCAAAACGATAAGACGCCACAGTCCATCGCGTATTTCTAATATGTACCGCTCTTGGTGGAATCGAATGTGCCAAGTCACTTGAACACCTCCCGTGAAAACATCTATAAAAGAGACAAATCCCCAATCTTTCCTCATGTTCTAGACTATTAAGGTTGCAAGTAATGTTCATGTCTCCAATCAAGCTGATGGCTCTTTTCTAGATGGAACCCAGCAGCTTTAGGGTATGCTTAGGGGCGGAGCTGCATACATTAGATCAACACTCCAAAGAAGGTCTGATCTGAGCTTTATAAAGCATCAAAAGTTGCTGAGTTGTGTAAAGTTTTCTGGTTTGGAACACTGTTCCAAGCTTTTGAGAAGCAGCCTTTGCAATTCCAGCGACATGATTGTGACAAGACATATTGGTGTCCATTGTAACCCCCCAACAAACGTATCGAAGCAGAAAGCGGAATTGTCTGTCCTGACATTATTGAATTGAACCAGGTTACTTTCACCCCAATTCGAAATCACTTCTAGATCCTCATTAAGAGATGCAACCTCCTGCTGCCATTGAAGATGTGCATCCACAGGCGATGTCCTGAAATCCAAATGGAATATCTGTACAAGGGTGCTGTCATCAGCAAAGCAGTATATTGGATTCTTGTTTTTCCCATTACGTCGTTGATATACAATAAAAAGAGGGTTGTAGACAATATGTATCCCTGGGGAACAACAGCGTTGATGGTGAAAGTATTCGTGAGATATCCATCGACGGCCACTTACAGGAAATGTTCTTTCAGGAAGCTGGAGAGCCATACACAAAAATGATGAATAATTATTCTTGGACAATAAAGTACAGTTTGATTGATTTGATTGATTGAAGCCATAGCATCGAAGTTTGGCCAGCAAACACTCATGCCACACACGGTCAAAGGCCTTAGAAATATCAAGCGCAACAGCTCTTGACTCTCCAAGTTTTTCGATTGCTTGAAGGTGGTTGACAATGTTTCGTGGTGTATTTCATCAGTTCGGACTTCCATTGTCTAATATAATATAAATTGATTTGAAATTCCTGAAAAATATTAAAAAGATTAACCGAAAACAACAATTTTATTTAAAAAAAAAACTGAAATTACAAAAAAATAACATAAAACCAAACAACAACCAAAAAATAAAAATTGAAATAATAATGAAAAAAATAAAATTTAAAAATTATTATTAACAAAATACGAAAAATAAAAATTAAAAGATTTCAAACCAAGTTATGTCACGACGTATCCACAACCGTCTTCGGGTGATAACTGGACTTAATCCTCCGACATCCGACTATTTATAGACCATTTGAGTGCTTTCACCTATCCCCTCTTCTCTCTTTCCGGTTCATTGGTTTTTAGCGGGAGTTGGTCGTTTTTCGTTTGATTAGAGGTTTCCATATCACTACACTAGCTTGACTAAATGCGTTGTTGGACAACATATACGCGGCTTCTTTGAATTTTCTCTTAAACCAGTGTTCCTCTTTGTGGATGATTTCAACTTCAGCCCACTTGTGTGTGTGTTTCTTGTGCTCAGCAATGCGAACTTTCAATGGCCTCTTAGTTTCATGTGACATAACTTGGTTTGAAATCTTTTAATTTTTATTTTTCGTGTTTTGTTAATAATAATTTTTAAATTTCAGCTTTCATTATTATTTCAATTTTTATTTTTTGGTTGTTGTTTGGTTTTATGTTATTTTTTTGTAATTTCAGTTTTTTTGTTCAAATAAAATTGTTGTTTTCGGTTAATCTTTTTAATATTATTCAGGAATTTCAAATCAATTTATATTATATTAAACAAGGAAAGTCCGAACTGATGAAATTTTTCGATTGCTTTATTCCAAATATGGGTGGCATATGATAGAAGATCGCCTGTTGATTTTTATTTCCAAAAGTCATTTTGATGATAGCTCATGATGTTAAAGCCTTCTAAATATTTAAGGATATGTTGGTTTACGGCTTTCTCCATTGAGTGAATTGAGTGATTCAGTTCACTGACCGTCGTTGATTTAATAAGTTACTCAATGTTTCGTCCACACGAGCGATTGGCTTCTCTAGGGGTACTGAAATATTTTTCGTTTATAATATCTAATTTTCATTGACGTACATCCTGTTATAGTTTCTTTCATTAATGAACAGTTTTGGTGCACCGCTACTCTTTTTTCCAGATAGACGTACTAATGAAGGCCACCTCATTGGTTGCGATGGCAGCAGAACGTTTTGGATCAGTTCAGCACGAGGAAAGGTTAACAGAATCGGCAAGTTTGATGGTGACACACGTTCAGATGTTGAAACAGCAAAGAGATGCAGCGAGAAAACAATTACAATATACCAAGTGAGTTGGCAATGGTGAGTCACTCTGTGACACAAATATTTTTGGGATAATTGTTGCAAAATAAATTCCATACACAATTATTCTGTAGAGAAGTACATGAGAATTTCCAGTTATATAAAATAGATAGATATGTACTTTATTTCTCGTCATTGAGCTGAATACAAAAGTACAAGACTTATCAGTATTACATTCATGTACTTACAAGTGATGTTTCAATGATATAGCAAACAGTTTACATGTACCATTTGGCAAAATTTGAGATCACTGTCACAGAAAATATTTTCTCTAATTCGATTCATAATTTCGCCTACGGTACCTAATTTACAATATCAGTCAAGTTGCAAACAGTTTGGTTCAACAAAAAAAGAGGTATTCGTGTTTTGTAAATATTTCGAATATTATCGTTGATTTGTGTAATTGATGACATGTTTATTTTGTGGAAATTCATGATTACTTTAATGACCTGAATGAAAACACCTTTGACTAATTTCCACTAGTTATTTTATTTTTACGACCGGTTTCGGGTTTTATCCCATTATCAAGTATAAAAATTAAGTATCGTTAATATCGTAGAATTATATCGTAGAATTTACTATAAAAGATGTAGGTACTTATGATTTTAATTGAGCGGGAAAAATACGGGTACAAAAGAACGAGTTGTTCGACTCGCAACACCCGATTCGGGTGCTTCAACGAAAAAACTGTTTAACCTATCACAACCTATTTAACCTTTCGCATACACAATGGGTGTTTTATTTGATCATAACAAATAAAATAGTTGAATAGAAAAATGAAAATATTTAGATTTTATTTATTTGTTTTTCATACTTGTCGATACCCTATATCATGGATACTTTTAATAGTTGAAGAAATGTTATGTAAATAAAAACAGTTGTTTTCAAAATATGAATTTGTCAAGTGGAAAAGTATGTCAGTTCTAATATATAAAAGTATTTTCTGCAAAAGTTTCAGCAGTTCCATATAAAACTTTACGATACAAATAATGATCCTTCGAAGAATAGCTCTAAAAAGTAAAAAATCTAGTAAATAGTTACTACCCCAAATTAAAGGTTACTATAGTTAGAAATTGATAATACCATTCTATTTTCAGATACCAAAATAATTCCAAGTGATAATTCATTGGTAACGGATTGGTATGTTAAAACCCACAAAATCATTAAGATATATTGAATTGCATAATTAGTTCATCCAACATTAAACGAAAACAATTTACTTTTAAAAAAAATATATTAACGGATAAGTCTTTCCTTGGAGAATTGGTAAATACCACAAATAGTCGAACAGAAAATTTAATCAGTATTGCAGGTAATCAGATACGTGAAAATATTTAGTATTATTCGTTTCCCAATTTTGAACACTTACCGTCCAACATAATTCAAGTTTTTAATAAAACGAGAAAAGAATATAAAACTGTCAAGAGGATATATCAAAATAATTTGAAATTCAAAAACACAATTGAAGATTCAACACTTGAAAAAAACGTTGTGTATAGTTCAAGTAAACGATATAGTGCAACTTATCTTCCAAAAGCTCCCCTTAAATGATATAGTTAGGGAGCTAACGAATTTCATTATTCAATAATCATTTATGATCATATAAGAAACATAACGAAAAGTCAAATGCAAAATTCGACGTTGAAAATTTTGTTACAGCACCAGAGAAAATGTGATTATTATAATATTTGCACATACAGTGAAATTTAAATGTAAGTGTAACCAAGTGCAACCAAGTGTTGCCTATGCTTACACGCTGCAACATACTGATGATGGGACAAAAGCCCGAAACACGTGTCTATGGTTTACCACCTTCTTGAGCGCTATGTTCGATTATTAACTTCTCTAATAAATATTTTGTGTATATAGGTGAGTGGGAAAGTAGGGTTCAAATAACAGGGTGATAATTGAAAATACTTATGAATACTACTTACTCACGTATATAAAAAATCGATCGCCAAATCGATTTCCCCAAATCAACTCGATGGGATTGAAAACACAAAAATAGGGAGGAAGTCTCAGTATGGTGTGTCCATACTTTTCAGCAATACTCTCAATGGCATACACTTTTTCAATCGTTTTCATCTGTAAAACTTCAAGTAGTTGGTTTTTGGTGTAGTAATCTTCAAAATACTAATTGATGGCCATTAAAAATCTTTGTATTTCATCTTTCTTCGAATTTTTATTCGGTACTTTGGTGAGCTGTCGCGAATGAGGAAGCGTTATCAAGAACTATTACACTATTCGCATCCAAATTTGAAATCAATGTGCTTTCAAACCATTCCTCGGCAATAGTAGCTTTCATATATTGTCAATATTGCAGTCCTCAAGTTTTTTAAACATAATTTCAAAGAATTCGGAACCCATCCTTTACTTTCTCCGTGATGCACAATGATTAGTCGCGATCCTTTGTTTGCAGGCATGTTAGGCGTACACATTCTCGAACCATCAGTCCACCCTTTCGTAACCATGTCGTGAGTGTCATCCAAATATAAAATTTGCCGTTGTTCTTGTTTATGTTCAGTTATTTGTTCTAAGTATTTGTTACGCAATTCCACCATTCTTCTGCTTTCCGTAACTGCTCGACGTTTGTTTATTATTTTGAATCTAAATCCTAGTTTCTTTATCCAATTCTGAAGAGTTTTTCACAGCAGCTCACGTTATGGCCCCAAGTATTCAATTTCTTCCTTGTGATTTCAGTTGTAGGAATCTCATTGCTTTTGTAACAGTCGTATATTGTTTTTTCAATGATTTTATTAGAAAAACATCTGATGGTTTTGGTAATCCCGTATCACATCGCATCTTGCGTTCATAAGGTTTGTTTTTGACTATTTTACGTACAGTTGAGAAAGGAATTTTGGTCAAATCTGATGTTGCTTGTAATAGTTTGTTTCCCTCGAAACCAAACTTGAGATGTAGATTCTTATATACGTTGAAACATACTATCTGCGTTTCAATATTCGAATGCATCCGAATCTTATTCACTGGTATCTCTTTTTCGCATTGTTCACCATCGTTATTGGAATCACTACACAGGAAAAAGTCTGCGTTGTTATCACACTCGTTATTACCATTAGTACTTGTCCAAGGACGCCACATTTTAAATTGATAACAAAAATTTTAAGTAATTATAACTGCACCAATATCGAATTTCAACACTCAAATCGCGATCAGTTCTTGAACTGAACATTGACAACACGACGGCTCGCATTCTATTCGTCACCGTAACATTGCTTCAAATTTAATTTTATGACTCTTCAGCCAATCATAAAACTCGGTTAGTAAAAATCATCCAATGCGAACCGCCAATTCTTCAGTCCACGTGGACTAGTTGGCAGCGGCTTTATTTCTCTGTATTGGTTTTTTTGGCCTTTGAGAGCGCCGACACTTTAAGTATGCACAATACCGGTTACTTCGACTATACCACATACAGTGTAGTTTGAATTATATTCCAGAAATGTATCCTGTACCTACTGTAGAAGAATTGATTGTGTTTCTTTTCAGGAACGTTCTTCAAAATGAATCAGGTAATTCATCTAGTTCAACAAATTGGCAACAGAAATGTCCTCCAGACAACCGGAACGCGTCGAAAACTATGGGTAAACGTCGTGCTAGCATTGCTACTATCACACAACAAATAATTGAAAATAAACCAACGGGTGATTTCAAGAAGGTCACGAGGAGAATATCAGACGCATCTTTACGTGCATTACTCAATAAGAACAGTAGACCAAATAGGCTAGAGTGAGTAACTTGTTGATCGATAATATTTCTCCCATATCAATTTCTTTTCGATAAATAATTGATAATGATTATACGTCGTCAAGGAGGACTACAATAAAGACGTTATTTGTCAATACAATATAATACAATACAATGCTTTATTTTTCCTGAAACTTTTTTACAAGCATGGAAATCGTCACATACACAGTAAAGATTGGAGTTGAAAAATATCAAGTGATGAAATATGGAATATACACAAAAAAAATCAAATCAATGGCAGATTTAGGAGATAATTCTATGAAACAATTTAAAAAATCATGTAATGATGGTTATTAAGACACGAGCATTAACCGGGATACGAAACGAGCCGAAGGCGAGTTTTGTATGGTATATGCGAGTGTATTAATAACCATTACATGAGAGTTGCATACGCTATTTTTTCTAAACCCGATAAATAATAAAAAACTATAAATATTATATTTGTATTGAACATATTTACAGTAATTGACTCATATTTTTTTAAAAAAACACAAACTTAATGGTATTATCATGGATATATGAAAACTATAAAGATTCTAATTATATTTATATTGAATATAACAACTGTAATTAATCTGATCTTTTAAAAATATGGGAGTCGATGGTATTCCTTCTATATCGCTGTTTTCAGACATTTTGATAATATACGTAGGTAATATGAAAACTGATTTTGACAAATAAAGCAATTAGTTACTTAGGTTAGAATCTAGGACAAACAAAGGAACAGGATTCTTGATTGAAAAATTATGGGTTTCTATGGGTTGATAATCTGTATCGTTATGAAAAATCTCTATCATAATGGATATCATTATGAAACGGATTATGGTCATATAAGTGTATTGTTAGAGTACGGGTGTAGAAAAATATTTTTATAGACATAACATGAGGTCCGTTTGATACAGATGTTAATTTGTGTACAGGAACTATCAGATTATAATTTTGCCTGAGAGTATAACCAGCAGCAATGCGGATAGTATGGTAATGATTCTTAATGTAAGTGACACAATTTAAAATATACATGGATATCACAGTTGAAATTTGTAACTCAGTAAATAACTGCTTACATGAATCACCATATTTTGATTGCTCAAAAAAGATACTACGAACCATGGTTCGTAGTATCTTTTTTGAGCAATCAACAGATCATTCAATTTGCTGCAGTTACCGTAGCAGACTAAGCAATAATTTAGACTTGAGTGAACATACGCATAGTAGTAGCTCAATAAAATATTAATGGGGACAAAATGTCTGAGATTCCAAATAACGAAACAATGCTTGCATAATTTAATGGAAATAGAGTCAATATGATTATTCCAGGATAATTGAGAGTCAATGTTCAACCCTAAGAATTTGACTGATTTTTTCTGCACAATAGATTTAGTATTAGCTCTAACCAATATACTACATACAGTCCATTTCTCTAAGCGAGAAAACAATGGTATTAGATTTATTGCTATTTAGTACGAGGCCGTTTCTGGCGCAGTAATTAAGCATATTAGCAACTGCAATATCAGCCTGGTCAGATAACCCTTCACAAGAAGAAGAACTCAATAAGAAGGACGTGTCATCAGCAAACTGTACAGTACAATGTTGTTGATTATTATTAGAGATGTCGTTGACGAATAGGTGAGAGTATGACCCAGGACACTACCTTGGGGAACACCTGTTAGGGTGTTACGATTATCAGAATGATATATTCTAGATTTGAGCCTAACCTTAACAGATTGTGATCTGCCAGTCAGATAAGACAAATCAAATAGAATAGTGATCGATTTTTCGCCATTTTCAAGTTTGGATAAAACATGATTGACCAGAGAAAGAGTAGCATCTTGGATGGATAAACCAAATTAGAATCCATATTAGCTCGTTGCGAGTAGTTTATACTTTTTACAGAAGGATACAAGTCTGTTGAGATAGAATTTTTTGAAAATTTTTGAAAATGAAGACAGCAATGCAATACCTCTGTAGTTGGAGATTAAGTGCTCACCATTTTTCTTGTGAACAGGAACTACAATAGCATGTTTAAGACATGAGGGAAATGAACCCTCAAGGAAAGAGAGATTAAGTAGGTGTGTAAGTGGTTCAATGATTAGTTCAGCAACATTCAACAATACTCTGCCTGGTAATTCATGAATGCCACTAAAGTTCTTATATAGACGATATGGACTTGATGATATCAAGAAGTTCAGTTTCGTCTGCAGGATGAAGAAAAAAAGAGTTTGTTTTTATATCGTAATGATGTTCACCGGCAGGCTCAGAATCATTGATTAGAGAATTCACAGAGTCGATGAAATAATCATTAAAGACTTAACAGGACCACCATGAACCCGAGTTCATGGTGGTCCATGAACCCGGGTTCATGGTGGTCCATGATGGTTCATGGTGGTCCATGAACCCGGGTTCATATCATGGCTCATATCATTGAATGTTGTATTCTGTTTAATTATACTCCAGGCAACTTTAGATTTGTTATCAGCTACAAGAAATTTGTTACTGAAATACTTTTTTTTTGAATAGTCAATTTTTTTTCTATGATTCTTCAACATAATTTTGTATTGCTCATTAACGATTTCATCACATTGAGTTCTGTTCAGATTGAAAACATCACGAAGAAGTATACCTTCATTGATGATTTCCTTGGTGATCCAGGGTTATTGCATATTGTCTTGAAATTTGCAGCTGTGGATGAGACGAATGTCGTCCGAAAAGAGGGGGGGGGGGGGGGGAAACGAATTAAGTCACTCCACAGGCTCTGATAAATTCGTTGTTCTGTTTTTTTGAAGTACAGGAAATTAATACGTAGATAGTCGTCATCAACTAGAATACATATAAGATAATTAAGTAAACCGGTACACAAACAAAAACAAAAAATCCACAAAGTCTCGGACGTCCGTGTTGTTTATGAATTTGTTATGATATCATGTGTCGATGTTTTCAGTTTTCGAATTTATGGATAATGGTAGAGATGAAAATGATTCACAATATGTATACTGAAGTATACATATATACACAATATGTATACTGAAGTATACATATATACACAATATGTATACTGAAGTATACATATTGTGTATATATAGCATATGTATACTGACTATGAAGTCCTTACTCCTTACTCTCAAACGTTAAGTTCGTACTGATTTTCCATACTATGACAGATGTCTTAGCCGGAAGAATTCAGAAGACAGTTTTATAACTCATTTCAACTCAGTGGACATGAATTTCAAATCTAGTGATCACCTAGAGACAATAATTATATTCACGATAATACACGTACATAAATATGTTAGTATTATACAAGGTGGTAATTAGAGATTAACATATCCCTTACCATTGAAGATAACTGAAAAGTTCTACAACACAATCTACAACGAAAAAGCTGTCTGGATGTTTTCAACTGATTTCTATGTATTTAGATGTTTTGAAAACTGAAAAAAATACTCAAAAAGTTCCGGAACGTCTAGTCATTTCGCAAAACGCTAAATTGTATTATAAAAAGTGGTTTTTCGGATTAACTTGAAATCATAAATAAATAGGTATGCCTCCATTCCTGTCGGTCATTTTGTATACCTCAAGGAAAACTACAAGAACCTGGAATTGATTTTTTTCAAATTAAAATATAAGGACTACGGTTGGCAAGTGTGCGGTGATCTTGGGCATGTTGCTTGAACAACAATCTGGGTTACCAAATTCCCTTGTTTTTCTGTCTGTGGGATAGTAGAGACCGAGCAAACCACTGGATCAAAAGGATTGGCCTCCGAGGGAATAAAACTCCTGCACCTAAATTTGATGCCTCCTCATAAGGTTCTGCTACAACCGCTTCACATAAAGCTGAGATTTATGTGAAGCGGTTCAACTTTCCATCACTTGGAAGTGACTATAAAGTCACTATAAAGTCACTTCCAAGAGATGGAAAGTTGAAGAAAAGTGTTTTTGTTGGACCAGATATTAGATGGCTTATGGCTGATCCATGATTCATCACAACCATGACGGATCCTCAAAAAGAAGGTTGGTTGCCTTTCAAAGAGGTCATAGAGAAATTTTTAGGCAATAAAAAAAACTAACTCTAAAAACAAATCCATTTAGTAATCTATGCAGCACACTTTTATAGCAAAGAAGAAAGTATTACAAATTATGAAACAACAACAACAATTGATTGGCGCTCCGGGGCGACTTGATTGATTCCAGTGGCGCATTTGGTTTTTCAGCTGCAGGAAAACCCGGAAAAACCTGCAGCACCACATCATCTGAAGATCTGCCAATGTCCTCTCTTTCATAGAATACAATTTAGGGTGTCTTCAGAGGGTCCAATAAATTCAAGATATCGCTAGAATATTCAGTGACACGACTATCATCAAACTTAAACCAGTCCGTTTCGTCTTTGACCAATGCGTTATAACAACCAGATTCATCGCCATAATCACAGTGAACAATGACTGCATAAAGATTATAATAGTGGTCTGCTAAATTGAAGTGTTCATCTATTTCGAACCTTCGTAAGAGTTTGGTGCTTCCGTCAGAGGTTAAGTCATGTTTGAAGATCATCAGTGTTATTATTAAATTGACTGGTGCCTCAGCTATACTTGTTATTTTATAATAGTCAGTTAGTTTGGCGCATATTTGGCAATACAGTTGATTATCACCCGTTAAAAGTTCTATTTTCAGATGACTTAATAATAAGCTTTGCACGGACTGGTTATCAGTAATATTAGGAAACGCTAGTTTATTATATGAAAAGAATCAAAAGCATTTCAAGCCTCAGGTTGCCTAAAGAGTTTAAGAGTTTAATTTCTCCATTCCCACCTCAACTACTTTTCAGAAAATTTAGGAGATGTGAGTGAAGAGCAAGGTGAATGATTCCACCAAGATATTAAGGAAATGGAAAAAACAGGGAAGATGGAGCGTCTCAATGATGACAGACTACTGTTGGGCGCTTCCAAATGCTACCTACAACGAAAATGTACCAAAAGGAGTATCTCTGGGAAGAAGAAATATGTCTAGGGCTCACTACTGAATGTATTGTTACGCAATTATAAACTTGTGATGGACTATTTGGAACCTTTGATGTAGTAATGAATATTACTGGAGTTCCCAACACCAAACCGTTGTTTTTAATACAGGTGTTAAAAATAAAGGATTGGTGTTGGGATAGAACTGCAGATTTATTCACGCAATTATGAACATAAAAAAATAATTAGTCTTTTATTTTAAGATGATAACTGGTTTAACATAGATACCTAAATTGTCAAAAAACCTGACGTTCTAAATAAAAGTAATTTCGGGTTCAGCCCATCCGAATAATAAACATTACACAAGAAAACAAAACAGCCATCAATTTTTTTGTAAACATTTGTTTTTTTTGTAAATTAGACATTCTATGGAGTAGGTATTTGAATTCAAAGAGAAATTCTCAACCCTAATCATTCATAGATTTTTTTGGAAAGGTGTCCAAATAAATTGGATGATATCTTTAATTTCCGAGGAAAGATGAAATGAAATGTTTGAAAATGTTTAACTTACAATAAATGAAAACAACATATTTTTAAAACAAATAGAGAAATAGTGATAGAAGTTCCCTAAGCAAAAATAAATTGATTATCTATGGGGTGTTTCTTCCCTGAGTAATATCTAATATGATTTTTATGAAATGCAAATATTATGGACTTTAAACCAAATTACTTTGGTTACGGTTTTGATCTGCGACTAACTTGTTCATCATCATTTTCAGACAACTATAATGTATAAAATTTATTTAATTTTCAATCAACCTCATTATTTTTTTCAAATACCATGAATATCAACCTCTAATCCAGTCATAATTTATAATATCAACTATGTTTCTATATAACTTATTATAGAATTATAGACAGTTCTATTGTTTATTGGTTACTACTCATTTTCAGACTAGGAGGCGATCTAATAGAAATAAAAGAAGGGTGCCTTGAAACAACCTCCGATTGTGAACAAGTACCTGAAATTGAAAAAGAAATTAAAAAGGAAATGAATTCTTCAAAGGCGAAATCAAAGCCTCCCTCTCCAGAAAATAGAAAATCGTCAGTGAATCTTTCAAAGTTACCAGTGAGGTAAGTATCGAAGTCCAGTAAATGAACAATATAAAAATGTATCTAAAAAGTATATGAAAATAATCCATTATTAGTTGAAATGATATTTCAATAAAATATTCCTTACTCTGCCATCTATGAAATTTCATAGTGAATAATAGGAACCAAGTTCAAGAGTACTTTCTATGAGAACTGTCTTATATGAAAGCGTAGAAGACCACAAAAAAAGGTATTAAAAAAAATATAAACTTCGAGTTCAATATTCAACAAAATTCACAGTCTAAAATCGGAGTTTGACAAAATTGTGTCCCTTCTACGAAGTCATAATTTTACAACTCACTGTGAAGTTGAAAAATGTATTGTCTGTTGATTTATTTTGAATGAAAGAAATAAAACTGAATTATCTTTTGAGGAATATTTCCATTCAAACTCAAATTTTGAATCGCCTTGACAACTGTATCAGGTTTTTTAAATAGTTCCATCACCATCATAGCAATTTTCAAATACCTACTGATTAAATACTTTTTCAATTTTCAGGGAAAAGGTGAATTACAAATGTCGGAGACTGGGGCAGACTTTGAATGACAAATATACAAAATGGATAGATGACGGTACATTACATGAAGTGTGTTGTTTCTGCGCTCTCATTTGTTTTTCTTTTAGTCTGATTTTAATGGGAAACATACTTGTTGAATACGAATACGCAAAAAGAGGTATCAGTTCTCCACACATGTTTTGGTCGTGGACGAATGAGAGCGATAGGAAATTTAATCTTTCCCGATAAGACCTACCTGAAGGTCTAATCGATAGTTAATTGTAAATTATTTCGAATAAAAAAATTATACAGATTTTCATTTGTTTTTTGGGTAACAAACACTATTTGTATATCTAGTGAAAGACTTTCCCATAAATGTATATGTAGATATACATTCAATATGATAATTGAGACATACATTAGGCATAGGTTCCTATGCTGTGACAGTGACAATGACATAGGTTATTATTGTTTTGAGGTTTTTTAAGTTATTCAATTGTGAAATTTTGAGAGTAATGACTTTCAGTACGTTCATTATAGACATGAGAAACTGATGAATAGGTAAAATAAATTACTTTCACTCACGGGAATCACAAGAAACCCAAAATAATTTATGAAAATGGCTGTCAAGACTCTGTTTTACCATCTGGTCCAGTTTCAATAAGTTGGATATATGTCGCAACTGGACGATGAACTTCACAATTGTTGTCTTACAATTGGGAACTTTTCTGCTTAGTGAATAAAATTTTATTTAGACAATCGTTAATTCACCTATTATAGTCACTATTCCATCACATGTTCAATTTGCTATCAGATAATTGATTCCTCCTCCCGCTCTCTTAAGAAAAGAGCACAGTCTTTCAAAAAGTTTCGGAACTATCTAAAATGGTAAATTGAAATTAAAAACGGTAAACCGAATAGCAAATTCATAAAGCGCCGGCATAGGAAGTTGAGACTATTGAATCAAAAAAGAGAGAAGAAATTTAATATCTTTCTTTTTTAATTATATGTTTTGATTTGACAAGCAATGCTCCGTAAAATCACTGACACAATGTCCCGGGAACCTTATTACACTTTGAAATGAGTGTTTTAAAATACCATGTTAATAGGCGGAGAGGACATCTATGGAAGAATGATGCCAATGGAAACCATATTTGAAGGTGGTATTAGAATAATGAAATACTATATTAGTGACGTAAGAAGCACTTCTCGTTCGATCGGACGTCAACTCGAATACAGCTTCTATTACTTTTACTCCTCTCCTTGACAATCGTTGGGTGTTGTCATTGAAACACCTTCATTTTCAACAGTTAATAAGAGTTTGATAGGTATGTTTTTACTTCCCAGTGCATAATAATAACAGATAATAGACCCAAAAAATCTCTCATTCTTTTAGATCTGAATATATAGGTACTCATATATAAATATATTTTTATCATAAGCCCAATATAATTGTATTAATGAAAAATAGATAATTTGATTCATGGATCAGATTTTCCTTCAATTTTGAATAACTAAATGTGATATCTTCAAAAGACGATGGGTCTGATATTTTTTCTAAATCATTCAATTTTTATAGTGTAGTGATGCTCCTGAGTGTACCAAGTTTTTATGAAAGGAAACTTCATCGTCCAAATATGAAAAATCTATCGGAAATATTAAAACTAAGTCGAACTGTAAAACAGAAAGAGTTCTGTCAGTAGTTTTCACAAACAATATGGTTTTTTCTGTTTCCTTCCAGTTTCACATTGTAGAATGACCAAATAAAAAAATACCCTCACAAATTCACAACTGAAGAGCTCAAAACACAGTCAAATCCAAAATAATAACTATAACCAGTTTGATATAAAAATTTGGAACCTCTTGCGTGAAATAAATTCAATGGAAACACTTTTCAGTCGCCTAAACGCTCGTCGAGAGATAGCATTTTTGTTCTGGTGAGAGAAAAGTGTTTTCAATAGACAACCAATTTATTCATATCAATTCGTATCGATTAGCTGATTTTCATTTGATATTAGCATTTGTTGGCAATGGTGTGAGTGTGAATAGGTGTGAGCCAAAATAAACCCTTGCGGGTTGCGGTGGATGGTAGAATAGACCCACTCACTTTGGACCTAACCTAACCTAACTATTTGTTAAACACTCTATCGTCATCATTGGTACACATTGTCCTTATAATACTAACTCATACCCGTCTGGTAGGGTCGTGGGTCGTAATGAAGCTATTACTATTGGATATTTTTATTACGTTGGTATAACAATGCACAATCTTTTACATTTTGACTGTTTCTGTAAAATTTACATTGACTTGTTTAACAAACCTGAGTATAAAACTTAAAAGTTTCAGGTCTACGAGTCAATACAAGCTTCTGAAAATTCGCCCTTGAAATATGAAACATCCAAACGTTACGAATTTACTATTTGGTAACACTGCATAGGGTTTACTAACTTATAAAAATAACTACGGATGAAGCAAACACTATAATGGTATAGTCGAATGGAAGTTTTCTCATTTTCAGGATTCTAATGAATCTATCTTTGTTTCCAAGGAAGCCAATCCAAAATTTTTACTTTTCCTAGTATAAATTACAGTTCTCAAAATTACTATATAAATGCAACGAACCATCAACAACCAATTTAAAAAGAAAAAAATGTACTATTATCAGCAGAACATAAATATTGTAGAACTTTCATTCAAATAAAAAAGATCAACGTAAATGATCAAAAGTTTTTTTCTTTAGAAGACATATTCGATTTTCAATTGCAGACAAACATAGGGAATAAACTTGTTACCTCACTTTGATGAAAGTTTTCTCTGATCAACTCACCCTGTCTTCAATAATTGCGGTATAGATGCTCTATTCACCAAGGCATCATTGAATACGTACCAGTAAAAATCGCTCAAAGCCAAAGTATAATAGGAACTGAATCAGAACCTGAACGGTAATGAAAAACCACTGCAGACAATTATAAATGGTAACCCTACAAAATATTTTTGTCAATATCCCAGAAAGTTCATGTTTTATACAAAAGATAAAGAATTGTAATCTGATGGTCATTTTGCAATGGACGATTCCAGTACCCCTATTAACTGTTGCCACTATAAAATTTTCGGGTCTAAATCGACTAACATTTTTTAGCCCTTTTTTGGAATAATTTAAAGTCGGAACAGATAGAATTTGTAATTTTATAGATTCCTGGATGTTCCCGGATATATGAATCGAAGTATTAAAGTTGATATGAACAAAAATAGAAAATCCTAGAGAATTTTACTTTTTATGTTGTTCAATTGTTCGACACCTGTCACCTATATATGTTTACCTGTTGTCCGAGAATACCTACCACAGAGAAGCGACATTAACGTCGGATCCTTTGATGGTTCGGTGTCCCAACTCCGAACCGAAGATTTTGAGTGATAAACAACCTGGTTCACTGAGAAAAATGACCTCTCAGCGATATACGCTAATAAAAATACATACTCTTAGGTACTAGTATAGTACGTGGGCTCACTGTGAAATATAAAATTATAGTGTGAAGGACATCTTACTCTTCTCAATTTTTATGTTGCTAATTGAACAACTTTCGCAGTAATAATATAGAATATTCAACTATGTTGCCAATTTATTATTATATATGATGAATTGGCTTTTAAGAAATAAATTAAATTACTTCATTTTGTAAATCAAATTCATTAGATAGAAAATTAAAATAAAGTTACGATAATAGAATAAAGCTTATATTATATAATCATTTTATATCCTCTGAAATGAATAAGTCCACTAAGGATGAATAGAAGTGACTTTTGTTATTTTATGTAATCTTAACTTAAACTTTCATTAACAACATCAATACAATCTGAGGGTTCTAATTAAGTAAGGTTCCGAATGAAAAAATAATGAAACAAGATATTTTACCAAAACCTCTTAATTTAAAAATGTGACAGAATCTTAAGTTTCCTTTTTACAGTTTAACCTTTGGTATTATTGATATCATATACGTTTGTGGATTGTATACTGATTAATAAATCATCTAAATCATTCTTACAATTCATATGAGATTGGAATGAAAATAATTTTGGCAGAACAACTTCCGGAATGCCCTTTGAAATTGTATGGGGGTCGGATTAACATTATTTCCGCATTGTTGTCTTACAGCACCAAAAAAATTTTCAAGACAATCTGAATTGAGTCGTCTCGTTTTTAAATATTTATAATTTAATTTGGAAAGCTTATCCCATATTTTAATTACACTATTCATGGAAATAATCCATCATTTTCTAAATCTGACTCGATTTGTGACATTTTTGTCCTCTGAATTGAAAATTTCAAGATTTTTCAAAAACGTTAGAGCCTCTTCAATAAAATCTAATTGGAATTTCGAACCTTCAAAAACGTTTTTGTATTTATAGGAATGTCGTAAAGAACCCGAATTCAACAAATCAAAAAGGTTATTGAATGTCTCTATTACTTGTATTGTACCAAGAGAAGAAGCAGGAAGTAAGTTCATTGCCACGAATGCGTTCATTCCACTGGCAGCTTTACGGCTCAGAACTTGTGTTGCTAGACTCACTTTCATTTTTTCAAAATTGTTTGGATTGATATGTGATTTGGTAAGATTTGGTGCGAATCTATAAAATTGCCCTATGTCTTGCTCATAAAAAGAGCGCATTAAAGACCAATATGTACTTTTGCCTTCAAAAGGAAATGACTGTTTTAAAAAATTGTTTCTAGTGGCTTTTATCAAATGACTTGGATCAAAAATAAAATACCACCGAGATCAAATTCAGATTCTTCTAAAGTGACCCCTAATAACTTTGACAATTCATAAAAGTAAGAGCCCATGTCACTCTCAATGCCATCAACATGCAGACCTATATTGGATAATTTAGAAATGCACTTATCCCAAATATCACGTAGATTTTTTGCTGGTAGCTGTGATTCAATGAAAAAAAAAAGCAATCGGTTGTTTCCAGGGAGAATAAAGTCCTCTAGCCATAATAACGAGAACATTTCTACATATGGAATTCCTCTTATTTGCCTCTCCAATATCTTCGAAACTAATAATTTCATCACATCCTGTATCAAAAAAAAGATTGGATTTCAAAGTCATCTCAATAGATATCACACATCGCTTGTCCTGTTCGAGCATTGTTCTAATTTCAATTTCAAGTGCCTTAAATATTGCTGAATTTTCTAAGTCCGGCCTACATGATATTTTTTGGGTCATCCCAAAAACATCGTTTTGTTGGAAGAGTCAATAACTTGCTAAGACGTCTATAATTCCAAGAATTTGAAAAGTAGTTGATCAAAGCAAACTGCTTCACTTCTGAAGAATATCTGCGAGATATAGGTTTCTTGTTCATGCGATTTTATCACTTCCGACAAAGGAGTCTCAAGGAACGCATCACACCCTTTTAAAAACGTATTCACTGATAAACCTGTTGTCGCTTTAGATCCCTTTTTGATTTTCTCCCTTCGTACCTACCTCATTATGTTTGCTTAGTGCTCACAGACTAATAGAGACAACTAAGCCCGAGAATGACGTGAAGACAACCAAGTCGACGCATGCGTCTACGAGAAAAGGACACAAAATGGCCGTCTTTGTCGCTTCTCTGTGGTAGGTATTCTCGGCTGTTGTCACAAACATAGCATTTCAGTGTTCAGTTTGTTTTTGCCGAGTAGTTACGTTTTGATAGTGTATTCTGTAGGTGTTTTATAATTTTTTTCCATACCAAAGATGATTAGACATTTTCTATCAGAACGATCCTGTTCTACTGAATATAATAAACAATAAGTGAATACAACAATAAAATTTCATATGGTATATGACATGTGACGGTAAAATGACAGAATTACCACTATTAAACAACGTACAAACTTAAAATTCCCTTGGATTTTTCATTTTTGTCCATATCAACTTTAATACTTCGATTCGTATACTCGGAAACATCCAAAAATCTATAAAATTAAAGAATCTATCTGTTCCGACTTTGCATTATTCCAAAAAAGGCCTAGAAAATGTCAGTCGATTTAGACCCAAAAATTTTATAGTGGCAACACTGAATAGGAGTACTGGAATCGTCCATTCGTAACAAAAATGTGATTGTTTGGATAAACATGAACAAGTAAAAGTCTTTGGTGAGGAAGAGGCAAAACGAAAGAGTCGACCACATAAGTAAGAAAATTGTCAGAACTGGTTAACGGTCTAGTTGGCAAACCCATAAGAAACGAGAAGAAGACTCAAGAAATTTGAGGTTAATTCTTGACATTTAGTTATCTAAAAGTTACAAAATAGATATTAATTCAAAGAAATAGTATTTTTCTTGAGTAGTCGACGAATTGTACATTTTATCACATCGGATAAATTGAATTTCAAGGATAAACAAATAAATTCTTCAAAAGAATGTCATCCATATTGGGTCCTGAATGGTAGTTATAGATGGTGTTCACCAAATTCTGTCACATTTATTATTCTCTTTTTAGGCATATTTCTTCGGACGGAGTTTCTTTAGTGACTGACAACGGCAACATCAAAGATAAAGACAAGATCTACAAGTCTGCATTGAATGTAACTATATAGTTTAATATTTTTCAGGAGAAAAAACCTTTTGGCACTCAACTTCTTTACCATTAAGTAGAAATTGGGAAACTTCCAAAAAAATGTAGAAAAAAATCAGATGCAGACATACTCAGAACGTTTTTTTCAAATAAAAACTGGAAAAATAACAATGAAAACATTTGCTTTCAAATATATGAACATTGAATTACAGGGAATTAACTTTTCTCATTCAGTTTGTACCTACTACGAACATTCGTATTGGAATCAAAGCAGATATCATACTAAGGAATCTCACTCAACATAATAAAAGTATTGATATAAAATGTCACTTATAAATGTTTAGGGAGACTTCTAGAAGTTTCTGGTGAAAACACTTATCTTCAAGCCTCCATCAGAGTCTTTTGATTAACTTTGAATAATGATTAACACAATTCTTATGAAAAAATGTAACTGGAGGATACTCAATAGCTCCATCATAATGATGTTTTGTAAAAAACATTCATAAAACTAGTTGATTTACTTCCAAAAACTAGTCACCGTTGACATGGAGTTTTTGCAAGGATTGATTGAATCATAATTCAAAGTTATCCAAAAACGTATTGAAGATGTAGCATTTCTGTGTATGATTACTATTTCCAATCAATCATGAATGTTTAGGATATACATTGATTGGAAAATAATAATTTCTGTGAAATTCAATGTTCATATTTGAAGCTAGTTGTTTCGGATTATTTTTTTTCCAGCACATATCTGAAAGAAACTTCTGTGCATGATCTACAAATTTTGGTAGAGATTTTTTATTGCTATATTTAATTTGTCTTCCTCTTTTCGGAATCTACTTTCTAGATAATCATGAAGTATAGAGCCAAAAAAGTTTTTTCCAAAAAACTTATTTCTCCTAAAAGTATATATACTTTCAATTTGGCTTATCCCTTTTTCTATTCATTTTTTAGTTTGATCTCAAAGAAATATGCAGTCCCATGTTAACAAATGAACTATCCAAAGACAAAACTTCCAAGATTATTCTCCAGATTCAGAAGATTAGGAATATTTCAGCTCCGAAAGCTAACGAAGAATCTCAAGCAGCTCCCCGAATGTTAAAGCTAACCTTAACAGATGGTGATACATATGTTCAGGCATTAGAAATTGGTCTTATCAATGCCATCAGCCGCAATAAGACACCTCCCGGAACTAAAGTTCTTATTAGCAGTGCTAAAATTACTTCCGGGTGTCTTTTGTTGAACCCCAGCAACTGTACTATATTAGGTGGTAGAGTTCCCCATCTTGTTGAAAAATGGGAGATTGCGAAAAGTGTTCAAAGGAATCATAGATCGAACTGTAAGTAAATATTTCTTATTTAATTTAGTAACAGATTTCATAAGCGTAAAGGTAGGTTCGGTACATATATTATTATTACAATGTACAGATGGTAAATCAGTTGATGAAATTCATTAGATGTGACTCAATTGATAATTGATCAATAATTATGGTGAAAACATTTCCATTAAACCAGAAAAATCTAATATAGGAATGTAGGTTGTCATCTATCTGGAAATGTTAATTATTCAATGTAAATAAATAAATTCCAAAAAGGAATAAAATCATTACAGCATTATATAATGAAGAATTTTTAAATTTTGTTGTTATGATATGATAATCATAATTATAGAAACCTCATCTGAAATAACATTTTGTTAATAATTGACCAAATCAACTTTCCCATTGGTTTCAAAAAATGCAAGTCACATGAAATTGAGTAACGCAAACTCAAGCCGTTTCCCTCAAACATTAAGAGTCAGATTAATGTGCATTCTTTTATAAATGCCACTCTGTAAATGCAGCAAAGTTTATGTAATGTGAGAGATGGTTATGTTTCATGTCTTGCGGATTTTTCCTTATGGACTACCAATCGGAGCAAGGAATACCTAATTTCAGCACTTGACTATTACAAATTCTATGACAGTTTTTGACTTTATAGTTGGTTAACTTAGTTTTTCAACTACTACTTTCTGTATAATATTTGCTGGAATGTAACAATTTATTTATTATTATCAACATGCATAAAATTTATACAATCTTGAAAGTGACTGACATTCTTCCATTTTGGTTTTCTACTGTGAAACCGATTTGTAAGTGATCACTCGATTTTCTAGGAGATCTTCCGATTGAATGAACTGAAACCATTCGGAAGAATTTCCTCTGTAAGGAATCTTGCACAAATGTCTGTAGTTGTCTTCCCGCAGATATTTGACAGATTCCACTATGTAGGAACGCTGGGGGAGAAGAATATATTTAGAATTTCAATTCAAAATAATATATTTATTTCCTTAGTACTCTCTATAAATTTCTGTAAGTGAAACAATATCGAATTAGTAAATCAGAACTAACTTATTCATAAAAAAAAAAGATAAACCTCTTACAAATATTGACAAAGTCTGATATGGCAAAATAAGGTGTTGTGGAATTCAAGGTCGTAAAGAATTTGAACAGATTACCTGAAATTCACTTTGGTTATCATATGCTATTTGTTATAATTAGTTTCTATGAACCATAGTTCATTTCATATATAATTAGTCTATTTTAAAAGGTTTCATAATTTTCATTTTATATTTGTTATATTTCTGTGTTTTCAGAACACTTTCGGCTAAGAATTGTTTCAGTGAAATTTTTGTTTTGTGGCAAAATTATTACAAAGCTAGATTTTATTTTACATCTAGGTCCACTATTGTTCCTAATTTACATAAACGATATTAAATATGCCTTAGCTCATAGCTCCCTACGCTGACGATACGACCTTTACAAATTCCAAGGGAAACTTTGAATTTTTAAAGGATAGTATGGCCATTACAATGTCCAAAGCATCAGACTGGTTCACTTCAAAATGGCTGCATCTAAATGGTAGCAAAGTTGAATCAATGATTTTCTCCACCTATCATACAGAATCAGTAAAGTTTTTGAGAGTATACCTGGACCCCACACTGCTGTTTGACTGTTATGTAAATTATATAGCCAGTAAAGTTGATGAACATTTACCTTCTAAATAATCATAGATCAGTAGTGGACCAGAAAGTTTCTGTGATGACTTTCCAAGCTCTCATTCGATCAGTTTGTACATACGCGATAATAGTATGGGACAGTCACCACATGCATCAAAATCATGAACATTCCATCATTGTCAATATGCGTGAAAATATTAATCAATATAAAACTCAAAGCAATATACATAATCACTGCACAAGGAAAAGAGACAATATAAGAATGAATAATCTTAGACTTTCATAAATCAAGGAATGCTTCACTTTTTTATGCTCCAGAATTCTACAACAAACTACCTTGCCGGATCAGGGATCTTGAAACAAATGAACTGAAGATTCTATTGAAAAATGATTTAACAAACAAAGCCTTCTATAGCTACGATGAATTCCTTAACAGTATATTTGAAATTAAATGTAACCTTTAGAATGTTGTATTCATTGAATTTGTCTCTGAGAAAATGAATTGAAAACTTTAAATTGTTGATATTGTGAAACCTACGTGCCTACTTCGATATATTATATATTTATAAAATCTAGAAAGGTTAATGCAGTCAAGCTGCTGGAAAATAATTCCATGAAAATAAAAAAAGTTAATAGATAAGTACTTTTTGATCATTCCCATATTGATGTCAATTTAAGAGCCACTGGTAGACAGCTGTTTCAGCCTATTGGGCATCGTCAGTACTGGGCAGGCGGTCCTCGATTGAAGACAAAATGAGAAAAAACCAAGAAAGTACTTGATAGTTTATTTTAACACCAATAAAAAAAATATTCTATTCATATTCAGACTTTCACAATATTGGTGTTTGGTAGAGCTAGTTGCTTTGAATATCATATTAATTTTTTGTTAATATTTCATTATTTGTTATGATTATTACAGCAGGTGATGACGGCCCTCCTCCATGGGTGAACTTTGGAACCAAAATCCAAAACAATAACCAAGAGTCTAATTTTAAATCCTTAGGCAAAAATAAAGATTCAGTTAAAGAAAACTCTGAATTTGAACTTCAGAGGCAAGGTGCGATTGCAGAAGCTACCTCAGGAGCTACTAAGAAGGTGTTCAGTGGTAGAGTAAAACAAAACATACAACCAGCGAAGAGTACGGACAATTTCAAGGATAAAAGAGAACACAGGAGTAAAGCAAAGTTTACACAAAAAGAAGAGATTTCAGAAAAGCCACAAAGACCTTCCGAAAAAGTATCATTGTTTTCTTTTCTCGAAGATAAGTTGCCAGTTACTGAGACTCAATCTTCTGCCAAAACCAACACACAACCCGAGAGCAACAAATTATGTAATTTACAAAAAGGATATCAAAATCAGGCTCAACAACAGAACAAGGAATTCAATTTCCCTCGTGAAAAACCATTGAACCAGAATAATCGTAACCAATTTGAAAACCCTTACAATAATAGAAACAATACGTTGCATAGAGAGAAATCAAAATCGAGTGAAAATCGTGTATATCCCACATCACAAGCTAAATCAGATAATAATCAGATTTCTCAAAATGTGTACAATGATTTCAACATTCCGGAAAGGTTACAGAGAAAACAAACTGATAAATCCAACAGCTATGGCATTCAAAATAGCTTTGAAAACAGAAATAATAATTCGTTTGACAGGGCTCAACCGAAATCTTCCTATCAGTCACAATACTCACAGAAAAAACCAACCAATGACTTTCACCAGAACTCGAACCAAACAAATGCTGTCAGTCATTTTGAAGCTTCTGATAGGTTGGCTCAGAAGCCCAGAGATAATAAAGATTTCAACCACAATCAAAACAATGGTTATAATCAAGACTCGACAAATAGATCGCAGCATAAACAAAATGATAACCGCTATTCATCAACATCTCGCAATAATAACATAAATAGATATGAAACTTCTGACCATAAACCAAGTGAAAAAAAAACTTCGAATGCAAATAATAAAAAATACAGTAAATATCCAACCAATAACAGTTCTAACACAAATTATCTAAACTCTCTAGATAAACCCCAACAAAAAATTGATGATAGCAATACCTCAGAAACTATCAGTATTTCACAAAATGAAATCAATGATGTAGCTAATAGTATAGAGAAGATATCTGTGAACAGTCAGTTTGCCAGTCGTAGTTTGAGGCAATATTTGAACCTGGGCCAGGTGAAAAAAAGTGAAATCTCAGGGAGCAAAGAATTGGTTGATTCAAAATGGAAAATTGGTGATGACTGCTTAGCTAAATATTGGGAAGATGGACAGGTGAGAAACTTTCGTTTGATTGGTTAGGTTAAGTTTATAATATTACCATCCATTCAGTGTTAGAAGTTCGAATTTTGGGTCCAGTACACTATTAAGTATCTTTTTTTTTTAGATTCTTGTGTTAGTTGTTTCCTTTTAAATTTCTGATATTATCATTCAATAATGATCTCTTGAAGATAAATAATATTAAGAAAAGGTTAACTAATTTCTGAATAATTACTTTTGTGAAATTGAATTTTTAGATATTTTACAAATGGATGAAACATTCTAATATCCCTTTTTCAGTTTTATGATGCCTCAATTACAGCCATCACTGATAAAACCTTCGCAGTCAAGTTCAAAGGTTATGGAAATATTGAAGAAATTTTAAAGAGTGATTGTCTGCCAGTAGCGCATAGCAGTAAACAAGATTATAGCCATCAAAATAGGCGTTATGATCAGAATACTAGGCAGCATTCGGGTAAGAAAATTGACCGTGAATGTAAAACCATTTCAGTCTTGAATAATTGAATTATTTCCTATAATTTTGATCTATGTTCAAAGTTCATTTAGTCTCTATTACTAGATGTATCCAGCACCTTTTAGCCAGTCACTGGATTTTTTTCTTCACTTAATAATTGAGCTGTATAATCTGACAGTCAACAGATCTGATCTTGTCTATATACATCCCCTTACAATTGCAATAAAATATAAAAAGTAGCATATCGTTAGAAAAGAATATAATAAAAATCACAATCAACAAAAGAAATATTGCTTTTTAAGATGTGTTGAGTATATATTTCATTAATATTTTTGAAATATCAACATTTGACATTTTACCTAGGCATTTTTGAATTTCTATAAAACAAATCGGAAAGTGAATGTGTCATCCCACTTTGAAGAGGTTTATGATTTGTTTATCTAGAGAACGTTATGTAACATCAGAACAAATGCTTGTGGATGTGATGGGCTGAATGTTAGGTTGATAAAACTGTGTTGTCAGTACATCATACAATATATTACATATTTAATCGATTACTGATCGACTGAAAATATTTTTCATGGAAATGTGGGGCAGAGCACTTGTTAAAGTTATACCTAAGAATTCTATTCCCACTGAATATAAGGACTTGCGAGCAATAAACATTTTACCAACTTGCCCAAAGTATCGGAGAGGGCTATCGAAGTGCAACTTCAAGGTCATCTGGAAAACTTTTCATTGTTTTCTGCAGTTCAATCTGGATTTCGAAAGGGCTATAGTTGCACAAACGCCCTCTTGCATATCTCTGATTATATTTTCAGAGCTACTAATCAGGGATTATGCACTGTATTAACTCTTCTGAACTTCAGCCGAGCATTTGATACAATCCATCACCGACTGTTATTGAACATCTTACAATTAATTGGGGTCTCTGAGGAAGCTCTGACATATTTCAAAAGTTACTTGACAGTAAAAAAACAAAAAGTATGAATATTTAGTAACCAATCTCAGTATAAGGATCGTCGGGCTGGTGTGGCCCCCAGGAGCCTTTATTTGTTGACCGTATACATGAGCCTTTATTTGTTGACCGTATACATTTCAGGTCTCACAGATTCTTTTGAAAAATGTTCGGCTCATCTTTATGCTGATGACACACAAGTATATTACAGCTTTCCTCTGAAAGACAAAGAAACTGCAACCATTCTCATCAATACATTGATGCTTTCGTTAAATTTATATTCAAACCAAAAAAACCCCCGTGACTCATGTTTCGACAAACAAGAAATCACAAAGGGTTTAAAAAGACACCTATTGAAGAGATAGTGAAGAGAAATATGACAAAATTTTTGAGTTGTTGACTGAAATAAAAAAATCCATTCCAGTAGGAAGGATAGCTGAAATGACAAGACATTCAGAATAATATAATTTCCATTAAAATCGACATGGAAATAAAATATCAGGCAGATAAAAAAAATGGAATAATTCTAGAAACAAATTCAAGTTTATTTTTGGCAAGACTAGAAAAATTGTCTCGAGATCCTTTGTAGGTTATCGTCATAATCTAGTAACTGAAAATTACCAAAATTGAAGTATTCTATAATTTCTTCCAATGTTATAACATTTTTCATATCTATTGTTTGTGGTTTGTAATACTTGAGCAACTCATAATCCTTTGACATAACTCACTTTGAAATACTTTTTTCCTTTGGTATTACTGGAAGGCAGGTAGCTTGACCAGTATTCGAACAGTTGTATAAGATTATATTCACGAGATATTTCAGAATTGATTTTTCAACAATAAATTTGACATTATTTGAACATATTCTATGTGATATTTTCCATGGCTGTGTCATTACCCTATGCTGAAGACCTTTTCATATTGCAGTTTTTTGTGAAAAAGGATGACACGACAAAAAATCCAATATTATGTCTGGTTTGATTGGTTTTTGGTACACATGGCACAAACTTCCATTTCCTTTCCTTATTATCAAAGTGTCTAAAAATGCTATGGTGTTGTGCCCATCTTCTTTTTCAACTGTTAATTATATTCTCTCATGAAAACTGTTACTCTTATATTGAAATCTTCAATAAAATCAATGTGCGACTATATACAACTTTATTTATGATCATTGCACTTGAAGTATGTAAATGATTTGTTCGTTTTTTCTATTCTATTATATTGAATATTTATTCAAATTATTGTTGTCATTATTACCGTTACAAAATTACTGTACTGATTATTTACTTTAATCCTGTGAATGGGTGAATTCTGTTGGGCAATAAACGATTTATTATTATTTCTTATTATCACTAATCTAGAAAGTATTTGTTAAAATGTTCGGCTATTTCAATATCATTCACAACATATCTCTAATTTCAAAAACTGTATATATCAGAAACACAACTCTTCAATTATACCCTAAAACTAAATTTTATGTAAACAATTTGTTATTTTAGACAATTTAGTTATTTTCTAATTATATTCAGTTGCTCGAAGGAAGAATTTTGTCTTCAACATTTCATTTTCAACATGTTTCCAAGCCACCTTTTCATTTTTTTAATTTTTTTTTAGGCTCTATGGAATTCAGAAGAAGCTCACGAAATTATAAATAAGGACTCAAGATAGAAAATTGCCAAGCATAAACATAATGTCAATCTTTGATTAAAATTCATTTCATACTAATTATTTATTTACATTTTCTTAGAAGGTGTGAAATTAATTTTTAATAAACTGATACATTATTCCTAAATAGTTTTTATTTTCATAATAATAAAATGTATAAAATATGAACCTTTCAGTGCAATGGAATATTTAAATCTAGTTCATCTTGAGTCAAGACATTCATCTATAACTTTTCATAAACACATTCTCCGGCTATCCAAGTTGAGATAATGTCCAAATTATCATCTAGTAGAATAAAATCTGCATCGGCATCAAAATTTAAAGTTCCTTTTGTCTTTTCTATACCAAGAACTCTAGCAGGATGCAAACTGGCTGCTTCTAAGGCATATTCGGTGCCACAACCTGAAAAGTTACCTGAATTTTAACAAAAGTATTAACTGTCGTGTATGAATAAAAACGTATTACTTCTGAGTGGAAAACAATGTAAACCAACAGTTTAGGTTTTTTTTTGTGTCAACGGCATCAACTGCTTCGGTCATTAACATCATGTTCTGGGTATGCAATGCTAAGAACTTCCCGAGCCACCTGTGGAATATCATGGTTATTTGCAATCTGCCAGCCATGTAACGCAGAATCATTGCAACTTCAACTACATAAATTCTCTGGAAGAAAATATCTGATAGAGATTGGGATTGAACTCAAGACCTTTTGATTGTGAGTCAAGCCCAGTACCACTGCGCTAATTCACCGCTAGTTTGGGTGTTATTTCACTTCATATTTTCTGAAAATTTTCAGTCCATTTTAAAGATGTTCAGTTTTAAAATTAAAACCAATCTGCTCCTTTGGGTTTGAAATCTGAAAAGCTACGATATAAGAGCAACCTGAAAATGATTCACTGAACACTTGTTGCGGCTTTGTGAACTGTTTAGTGAAAATCTTACAAAGTGTTACTTGAATATGTTATGGATTTCCATCCAGTATTCAGGTTTGATTAAAAGTTGAATTTATCCAAGTTTTCACAAAATGGATAACATTTCCAAGTGAATTCATTTTAGTCTAATGTCCCCAACAGAGTCAGTACTCAGCAAAAACAATATAAATATTGGTTATTATTCATTGTACTCGTCGCAACGGTGTAAAATTTCAAAAAACCAAATGTTTCATTATCAAAAGTTATTTTCATTATGAACAATAATTACCCAATAATAAATTATATATTTACCAGTAGCTTCCATGAAAAATCTAACGCACTGTATCATTGAAGTAATGCTACCACAGAGTGTATCAGTTCCAGCAACATAGGCATTTTGTTCCCTGATTTCGATATCCATTTGTCCTATTTTATATTTTCCTTCTCCAAGACCTAAGGCTGATATTGCATCTGTCACCAACACCAGACCTAAGATAGAATTCGATTATCAAAACTACAGGAAGTGATTTTTGTGTACACCCATGACAACAAAAATTGACCCTGAGAACAATGTTGGCCTCTTCCGTGGAACAAAAATGTCTATTTATAATAAACCATTTTTATTTTACTTAGTTCCTTCTTTTCCTAATCATCTAATGTAATTTCCAGAATGAATATTAAAATAAATTGCCAAGATGGGACAGAGTATAATCAACCAATATTAACTCATCAAATATATATCTCAATCTAAGAATTGTGGCTTAAAACAATTTGTTGCTTCCTAAACATGTCATTGCATCCTGAATTGCATGGAAACATCTGGCATTTTAAAAACAACATCTTCTAAAGTGTAAACTTTCACAGCCGGAGATAACTGTGTCAAAGCTATTTTCCGGATATTTAGCTGACTTTTCGTCTACCACTGCGGTAGGCATTATCAAAGGCGAAGGGCTCGAGTTGTTATCAATGCAGAAACTATAATGTTGAAATTTGTCTCAGATTTTATATTATCATTGATAGAAGTGGAGTTATTTCTCATGATTGGATTTAATGACTTCGTTTGTGTACATGGGGAATGTTCCTCAATTTGGGTTATTACATCAAATGCAAGTTTGAACAAAATAAAGGTGAGTTTAATTCATGAGTTTTTAAAATTCACTTCGAAAAGTATTCAAATTGAGGTTTCAAATGTTGGGTTTTATTTTTTAAAGGGATTTGTTTCTAATTCACATATTGGCAACAGCACCTTTATCAAGTTGAAATAATTTATACGTACCTAGATATTCTACTTTAAAAAAGGAAAATTATCTTTATAAATCAACAATTAAGGCAAAATATAAATTTGTAGTTCAATACCACCTCCACAAGCCACATAAACAACAGTTGTTTTGTTATTTTTACAGAGGAAGAACAGCACGCCTCTGAAATATGACATCTTTGTTTGTTTCATACAGGTAACATATTCATTGTCCTTTATTAGCTATAACCGACGTTGCCAAATGGTGAAATAGAAACGAATCCCTTTAAATGTTGAATGCATTATTGCATTTCTATTTTTTAAGTATTTAAATAATTGTTTAAAGAAAAAGGTTGAAATGATAAGTTAAAAATGAGTTGTTTTATGAAAACTACTTGATTTTCGTCAGGAGGAACATTCCTCTCCAGATTTTACTAATGTTCATTACTTATGTGAGAGTGGGTTTTCACACCAGGTCATGATAAAGACAAAATACTGGAATCAACTGAATGCTGAATATGAATTAGGATTGAAGTTGAGTAAAATTGCTCTCAGAATCAACTCCATTTGTGACAAAAAACAAGCCCACTCATCACATTAACGTACCCGTCGTCAGGCACCAAGACGAGTGAACTAAAACGTCCATTATGACAACGGACATTAGTCATATTAATTGTATTATTTAAGTACCTACTTATGTTATTGTAAGTATTTGTTTTTAAAAATATTTTATTTGTTCTATTACCTAGTGCTAAACATATGTATCTATTGCTTTTTTGTATTATTTTTTAATAAAATGCCTATCAATAGTCAGTATTTTTTTAAAGGGGTTCGCCGTGATCTTGAAGGTCTAATAGGGGTACATGGGACAATAAGTTTGAGAATTCCTACCCGAGACAAATAAAAAAAAAATGCTGAAGCCAAGGACTATAAACGGCATGAGAGATAAAGTTTTCAACAGAAACCATCATCTTAAAATTGTTTTAGTCGAGTTACCACCATCGACATTAGCATGTATTTTCTAAAATTTTCAAAATTTTTCCAAACATAGTTTTCCGTGTTGAGATTCACATATTTCCTCATAGCCCACTATAGATAATCAGTGAAAACAAATCTAGATTATTGAATAAGACTATTTAGAGTAGGAGAAACATATCTGATCAATGTGATGACCATTCTTACCCTCTGGATGCACCCGGTAGGCAATCCTCAAAGCAGCTGGATGAGTATGTATTCCATCGGAAATTATTCCAAAGTAGATAGTTTTGTCTTTTGGAATGTTATCAGAAGCTAAAAGTCCTACTAAACCAGGGTCCCTGTGATGGAACTGAAAACGTTTAAAAATATCTGCAAATCGTGGTGGCTACTTTTTTTGAGAGACAAAAAATGTACGAGATTTAAAAAAAAAATTATAAATCTCATATACAGGATGTTAGTGAATAAGGGCGACAAATAATAATAGTTTGCTATATAACTTTTGCCCTCAAAGGCTGTGTTTTCCACGATATAGGGTGTTGAAGGTTGTCTTAAAAACTGAGTCTGTTCTGAAACCAGTCGATATATTCAATTTGTGACAAAAAAATCTCTTGCTTTTTTTCGAATGGGGGCGCCGTTTTTATGCAAAAAATAAAATATATCAACGAGTATTTTTCATTATCAAGAACTCTCTAATACAATGACATTGAAGCAGAACAATAACAGAAAACGAAAATAATGAATAATGGTGTAGCAAAGCTTCAGTAAATGTTCAAATTGGCCTCCCTCACACGTGATACAAGATTTGCTTCATTGATTGTCACATTCACGCAAATATTCCTTGTGTATTTCTTATTGTCGCACAGCCAGCAATAATTGAATTCCTCAGATCTTCAACACTTTCAACGGAAGTGGAATGGAGTGACGACTGATAAAAAACTCACATGGAGTAATCTAGAGCATTTAAATCTGGTAACTAGCAGGCCAATGTTCTGTACTTCCTCCATCATGCATGAACCAGAGGAATTTCTTCAAGAAGAATAGGTAACGCTTCCTGTAGGAAATGAAAGTAAGAGTCGTTTTTTATGGACTGATTAAATGATCATGAAGTAACCCAAGCCATACATTTCCTGAAGACTGGTGCGAAAATAATCTTTAAAAATTTCATGTATATTTTCCTCAGCCCAGAGATGATTTTCATGGAAATTTAATATACACTGTCTTATTAAATTATCCTCGTCAGTAAACAAAACGCCAATCGAAAAATTAGCAGTTTGATGAAGAATCCACTAATAAAAAACTAGGCGAGAGGAAAAGTCTTTAGGTAGTAGAGCTTGCACATGTTGAATATGAAACAAACACACTTGCAGTTCTTTCAGAATTTCAAATACAGTGAAGTTGCTTACATTCACTATGTTGGCAATTTTTCGAGTACTTGTTTCAGGTGACCCAGCAATTAACTCGCGAACTGCTTCTTCTAGTTGCAAAATTCGTACTTCTCAAAGGCGCTCAGTCAGATATTTGTTTCTTAAATGTATCATTTTCGCGCAAACGTAGATGACGACAAGCAAACATTAGGAGTGAGGGGGTATTCTGTCCTGGAAACAGTATCCTAATACCACCGCCACTAGATAAGTTATAAGAGTAATTAAAAATACGTGTTGAGATGTTTTATTTTTTTGCATAAAAACAGAGCCCCATACGAAAAAAAGGCAGGAGAGATTGTCACAAATTGAATGAGGAGTTCAAGAATCGTTCTTTGTGTAAAATATATCAGTGGCATTGAGATCATTACCCATATGCGCGCCAATGATGAACATAAAATTCTCAATTGCATGTCAACAAATGGACCGCTACCAGAGCAATACATAGTCAGTTTTTGAGATAAACTTCAACATCCTGTATCTCGGATAATGAAACATTTGCTGATAAAAGTTAATGTATTAATGTGTTAATTTTAATGTATTAATTTTTTCATGCAGAATCACCCTCTGAAGTTTGCCGCACTTATTCACTAACACCCTGTATAGGACAGACCTGATAAGGATCTACTGAATTTCTTGTTGCGTTTCTACTTACAACTTCGGAACCAAACAATCACAATATGGAAACCTAGATCTTATGACCTGGGTAATAAAAAATAAGATACACGATCCTCCAGTTCTTTGCATTTTAAGGAGGAATTGGCATTATTTTCTTTTTGGAGTTTCAGTTACTCCATTATAAATTTAAAATAACTTTCCACGTCGACAACTGACTTATCTGAGCAAATTTTTCTTTGTTGATTTCCATATACCATTTTACACCATACTGTTGGAAATTAAAAAACTTACTGGCAGCATGGCATTAAATAGGTGGGTTATAAATGTTGCACCTTTTCTTACAGCCTGTTCCCCCTGTGCTAAGTTGGCTGTAGAATGTCCTTGAAAATAAAAATTACTCTGTATATGCAAAACACACCTAATGATCTTCACAAACTTACCAAGGGATACCACTATGTTTTTCTCACATAATTTCTTTACTACAGAGTCGGAATTAGGAAATTCTGGCGCCAAAGTTATTATTTTGATATTTTCCAAACTGCCATAGAGTTCCAAAAACTGAAACAGTGTCTGAAATAAAAAAGACATGATACCTATAATAAATTGAGTTCGAAATTGTTGTAATAAAACTACACATTTTTTACTGTATATATACAATGTGTCCAAGATAAGTAGGACCCGCACGAGAAAATTTGACTCCTTTGGACTCGATTTTGACTAACTTTAAACAGATATATTTTTAAACTTTGTCACCTATTAAGAACCGGTGGCAATACAATAGTTTCATAAGTTTATCTCATTATCATGGTCATGATTGAATAATTTCGTCACACAGTCTCTGTGTAAGAGCAAGTGAGACAACCACACTGTCTGTGCATGTGTATATATTTTATATTAAAACAAATGGGCTTGAAATAGCAAGCCAAACTAAAAGTTTAAATTAAAAAATAATTCGAAACTGATTCAAGATGGTGTTCAACATCGATAATGAGTCTTATGGCTTGATATAAATAATGACTTTTAATAAGTCTGAAATCAGAATAAACATATTTACAGAAAAATTAGTTTTGTTGTGAAAAGGCGTGGGGTGCTAAATATACATTTGCCAGATTGAGCCATAATAAAAATATAATTTAACACTTTCAACGTCAGGGCGGTCATTAGAGACCGCTTGAGGACATTTCCTCTAGTGCCAGAGCGGTCGCCTGTGACCGACGGTAGTAACTTGATTTGGGGAACTATACAGACGACAGCTTCAACACGCATTTAGCTATATAGGCATGACCGCCATGGCACTGCTGACCATTTCTCTCCAATGAATTTTTTGATTCCAATTGCTCCTCCAAAAATTACCCGCTTCAAAGTTGATAATGGTTTTTTCTCAATACTAAATATAATAAGTATGCAAAACTCAAGTATTCTTTATTGAAATAAGTACAAATAAATAGCGAAAACGAGTATACATTTCTACACTAAGAGTAATGAACAAATACAAATTTTGGAAGAAGAAAAAAAGGAATTATTTGTGACTAGTGGTAAAACATTCCAAACAATAGTGGGGTTCATTTTCACAATTTGCGCAGTAAATGGTAACCTTTTTTACTTTATTTTTTTCAAGATTAAATTTCACTTTTTTATTAAAACATCCCCTGCAATATTTTCTTGTTTTCACTGCCGGTCTATCTCTTTTTGCAAAAGTGTGAGTGTTCATTTTTTGTCGTTTTGCTGATGTAGTTGCAAATTGTTGATTATCATTCTCTTCAGAATTCTCGGTAGGTTCGAGTAAACTTGTTATTATTTTCTGTCGAAATTCAGATATGGTTATATTCTTTCCAGTAATATTTCTATATAATATGTGTGCATTGACAATAGCTGTACCTAACAGTATTTCCACTGCAATTTTCCTGTACCATTTTATTGTCTTACGTAACGCTGTATTATAACTCGTCATTTGATCTGATATGTCGATAGAAAACTTTCCGGAAATGGCTGCAGGTTTTTCTATGAATTTCACTAGTTCGGAACTACTATCTACTATATAAAATGATTTGAAATCCCTGAAACAACTAAAAAAGAAGAAATGAATAGCTGAAAATAACAATTATATTAACCAAAATAAACATGAAATGAAATAATAGTGAAATAAAATACAAATAAAAATAGAACAATTGAATAAATAAAAATAAAGAAATTAAAAAAAGAAAATAAGAATACAAAGTAGAGAGATTCATAGTCACGTTAGTTCACGACATTTCGATTGTTAGTATCTACAATCGTCTTCGGGTGATGACTGGACTGATTCCTCCGAGAGATGACTATTTATAGGTCGTTCGAGTACTTTCACTTATCCCCGCTTTCCATTTTCCGCTTCACTGGTTCCGTGGGAGATGACCGTTTTGGCGGGAGTTGGCCATTTTTCGCTTGATGATGGGTTTCCATATGTTGCATATTTCTACGCTGGCTTGGCTGAATACATTGTTGGACAACATGTATGCGGCTTCCTTGAATTTTCTCCTAAACCAATGTTCCTCTCTGTGCAAGATCTCAGCTTGGGACCACTCGATGTTGTGTTGATGGGTCCAAACATGGTCTGCTATTCCTGATTTGCTGGTTTCCCCTCGCTGTGTGTGTTTCTTGTGCTCGGCAATGCGAACATTCAATGGCCTCTTAGTTTCACCAATTAGGATTTTCCGCACTCACAGGGTATCCGGTAAATGCAATTCTTGGAATCGCAGTCCGCGTTTGGTGGTCTGGTTTTCTTGAGGCTGCTACGGATAGTGTTACCGGATCTGAAGCAGGTTCTGATGTTGTACTTGGAACCAATTCTTCTTATCCTCTCCGATAATCCTCTGATGTAGGGAAGTGCAAACACTGGTTGTGAGGGCTTCTCTTCCTTGCGAGGCTCCTGCTGTCTTCTAGCCAAAGTCTTTTCTACCATCGCTTTGGAGTAGCCATTCCGTTGAAGATCATTTTTGATGATGTCTAGTTCCTTCTCGAGACCTTCCTTCGTATTACAGAGCCCAAAAGCACGGTCTAATAGAGTCTTGATGATTCCTCTTTTAAGAAAGGAGAAGATAAACGAAGTCCGAACTAGTGAAATTCATCATGAAACATTGTCAATCACCTTCAAACAAAGGTTTTTCTATAGTACCAGTATATCGAGTAACTTCAACGGTTTCATCGCCATGTTTAGTTGATAGAAAAAGGACATCTCGTTTGTCTCGCCACTTTCCGACGCAAATGCCTCTATTATTTTCTTTTGCAATAATTTTCCCTACCTTCAACTTTTTTGATGTTACACTCTTTGGATTACCTCTACGGTTAGCCCTAAGTGTTACCACTAAATGTGTATTATTGTCTAGAAGTTGATTTGCTAATTCTAAACTAGTGTACCAATTGTTTGTTATCATTGTCCTGCGCTTCCCGTGTTCAAGAGTTTTTCTGAAAGTTCCATCACAATCTTTGTCGGCACTGACGTAGTAGGATTTTGTTCTTTTCCTGCATATAGTTTCATGTTCCATGTATAACCATTATCGCAGCAAAGTTTAAACATTTTTAGACCATATTTGTGGGTCTTGTTTGGGATATACTGCTTTATAAGTAAACGTCCACGAAACGGAATGAGACTTTCGTCAATGCATACTACTTTGCGGGGTACATACCGGGTGTCAACGAATATATTAGACAAGTCATAACTTCTAGACTATTAGGTGTATCAAAACGAGATTTGGTACAGATAAATGATATGTGGAGAGGAGAGTTTTCACATATTTTTCACTTTCCGATCACTTCCGGTTTCAGCGGAAATGGCTCCGGTTCTGAATTTTTAAATGGAACACCCTGTATATTGTAACATTTTTGGATTTCTGAGACAATTCTGGATCAGAAACTGACATTTCCGGAAGTNGACGCAAATGCCCCTATTATTTTCTTTTACAATAATTTCCCCTACCTTCAAGTTTTTTGATGTTACACTCTTTGGATTACCTCTACGGTTAGCCCTAAGTGTTCCCACTAAATGTGTATTATTGTCTAGAAGTTGATTTGCTGATTCTAAACTAGTGTACTAATTGTCTGTTATCATTGTCTGAAAGTTCCATTACAATCTTTGTCGGCACTGACGTTGTAGGATTTTGTCCTTTTCCTGCATAAAGTTTCATGTTCTATGTATAACCATTATCGCAGCACAGTTTGAACATTTTAAGACCATATTTGTGGGTCTTTTTTGGGATATACTGCTTTATAAGTAAACGTCCACCAAACGGAATGAGACTTTCGTCAATGCATACTATTTTGCCGGGTACATATATTTCGTGACGTTTTTTTATGAACATTTTTAGCAGAGGTTCAATCTTATAAACTCTGTTACCATCAGGACATTGTTCATTGTCACTGAAATGCCAAAAATGCCTAATTCTGGTCATAACCTCTGAAACGACGGAGTTTTTGAAAAGACGCTTTTGACTACAATAATCTTTGACGCTCGGCATTTTCACCAATCCCATGTATCCAAGGAGTCCAAGGAACTCTCATTTCATTTTAATTTGTAGGAATTCAGTTATGTAATCTTGAAGCCTGTGATATATCGTCCGCTGAAGTAAGTTCTTGGGTAGCGTAGAGGTTACTTTGTTCCACCATCATTTCCAGAATCTCGTTATCTATAAACAGCGAATAAAATTCGGAGATTTCAGCATGCCTTCTGTCCACAAATCGGATCCCGAAGGAATCTGACGGACGTATTGGGAGTTTCTCTCGAACTCAGTATCACTTGAATTCTGTGTATCAGAATTGTTATCTTGCACATTTACTGTTTCACTAACATATACCTCATCTTTGTTTTGCGTGAGATTATGGGTGGTATTCCCGCCATCTTCACCTACCAAAACGTTTTCAGTTTCGTCTGGTTGATCATCATCTGGTGATAGGCTATCATCACTACGGCTAACAGTATACGTAGGATCTTGAAGTGAATCTGACGTTTCATATGGGTCTGAGTCAGTTTCACTGAACTCTATAATAATAAATTTCAATAAATACATATTCACATAAATGTCGTATCCTTAACCTTCATCAGAAAACTGATTCCTATTTTTTAGGGCCAGTTCAACCAAGCGCCGTGATCGTTCACTAATTTTTTAAAATTTGCGAAGTAAAAATGACAAGCACAACCGTCTTTCTCGAGCTCGTAACACCGAATGAAAGCGTTGGTAAACAAGTCTCAACATGAGTTAGTGACCGCTTCGATGACCGCTACTTAATGAGTAGGCATTCATGACCCGTGGTGCCAAAACGGTCACTAGTGACCGATACCTTTTTTTGTGTAAAAATACTGCCTACGAAAAAAAAACTTCACCAGGACACATTGACCCCTACATTCAATATAAAAATGTAAAAAACCGGAACTGGGCCGGTGTGACATTTTTGCGAAACCACCCTGGCACTGAAAGTGTTGAAGCATCCCAGGCTTTTTTACAACAAAATAAATTTTTAGTATAAAATAGATTTATTCTGATTTCAGACTTATTAAAAGTCATTAGTTACATCAAGCCATAGGACTTATTGTTTATGTTGAACACAATCTTAAATTAGTTTCGAATTATTTTTTATTTTTTAGTTTGTGTTGCTATCAAAGCGTGTTTTTTTAGTTTTTCAAACTGAATTTCAATATGGTATTCTCTACAAAAAAAATTTAATAGATATTTATGCAAAGCTAACTACAGGGATCCATGCCGCCCATTATTTGTGAAGCAACAAATTCTGACCTTAGTATTTCTTTTTATTTTGGAAACAGTGTGTCTTATCTACAAAAAATATAAAAATCAATACCACTTATAATACACGTCAGTTTTACTTCATTTCCCTTCCAACACCTACTCTAGCCCTTACACAAAATTCTATTATTTTAATAGCAAGAAGTTATTTAATCACCTTCCCATTAATTTAAGACGAATATATAATGAAAAGAAATTCAGAAAGAAAGTAAAAGAATTCCTTGTTGGGAGACCCTATTATAGTGTGGACGAATTCTACCAAGGCTTCTACCAAGTAATTGGCATGTAGTTTTGTGTAAACAATGTTAATTACATTTATTCAATATTCATATATTCATGTACTTATATTTGTATCTGTTCAGCTGGGCTATATATTGTTCTGTCCGTATATGCTGCTCTTGTCTCTATGCATTATTTTATAGCTTATATTTGTTTTCAATGTCCCATATACAAGTTTCACTTTACTAGAATTTGCCATTAAGATGTTCAGATCTTGGGTAATAAAGCATTGATTTGATTTGTAAATCTTTTTTCAATATATTCAAGAAACACTTCATTGTGGGAATTTCACAATTTCAATTTTCATTTGGATAAACTCTAAAATGGGCAACCGTTTCCTGATTTAATTGACATTATATCTCTGTAGGTTTCAGATTTTAGGCACAGAGTATAAATAAAAATATTCAGAATATTTATCCATTCAGAATTTTTTTATGTCTTTCTAAAGTTTCAGTAGGTGTAAAACATGAAAAGTGTTTATGACACTGAAACATTTATGACTATCCAAAGTTTTTCGTTAATGAACGCGAATAACATAGATACAGATAGTGAAAAACCACCTACCCTACCAGAGTAAAAACAGTTCGAAATTTTCTTCTCTGGAACCTGCTACCGGAAAAATATAAAACATCATTTGCTTTGACATACAGCTGCCGGATTGAGTCATGGCCGGTGAGAAGTCCCTCCCTCAAGATGTCCAGTAGATGTGTACATGCAATTTACTTTTAAAACTTCATCACTAACTGAATATGGTCCTGAATTTGGATGTTTACTGCTCGAATAAATTAACAGACTAATAACAGATTTCTACACATCTACTGCACATCTTGAGGGAGGAGCTTCTCACCGGCCATGACTCAGTCTGGCAGCTGTATGTATCTTTCAAAAAAACTCAATTGAAAATAATTGAAATGACCAAAATTCAAATCCGGCTCTTATGATCGCTTAACGGGATCATTTATCAACTAATCTATCAGTCATCACCAAGAAAAATATCAGTCAAATCACATCTCTAAATTAGTATTTCGTGGTATTAGTGTTAAAGGGATGAAATTTGTTAACTGTAATTAACTTAATGCATCTGAAGATTAATGAGAATCGCTGATATATCGGAGTATCAGGATATTGTTACATAAATCTTATTGCATTGCAAACAGCGGTCTGGTGTTTAATAATAAATGCATTATGTTTGAGATCTAGTTTGCAAGTAGGTTCCATTCTTTTTTTGGACAATTCAAATTTTTTATACATTAATGAAGAAGTAGAAAGCCAGAAAGGTTTTCCTCTCCGTTATTTACTGAGCATTACTCATTTTTGTTTACTTCAGTGAAACATATCTTGTTCTTATTTGATTGGATATTATCTATGTTCTATCTATAATTTTTTTTCTGATAATAAAGTGAATTTCTTCATTCTCTCTTTACAAAAGATAAATTTTCGATTGTGTTTGGAATAAATTGCCAGAACAAACTATATTAAGTATTTATACTTCAAACAAACAATTTATGCATATACCTATTGCTTTTATAAGATCAGAAAAAAAATTATATTTATCATTTTATAGTAACAATTCTCAATATAACTGGAGTTCTATCCCAACACCGAAGATTAAACTAAGAAGTTTAATCTTCCTCTTGAAGATGATCACTTGGTGATTGAAACACGTGTCGAGGTATTAAAAATAACTAAGAATTAGTTTAATTTTTAGTTTTAGTTAGTTTCAGATTATAACAGCACATATCTGTAATAATTACTCTGGCTCTGCCTGACTAAAAAATGGTACCTACCCCATCATGCTCGACAATGTAGTTCACAGGATGTGCTCCTTTTTTCTCTTTACTTATGAAAGGCCCCTCGGCATGGACTCCCAATATTGTAGCACCGTTCTTGTCTCCTTTCCTTTGTTTGATGCGTTTTAGAATTTTGTGATAAACTTCTTTGGGCGAAGTTACCACAGTTGGACAGAAAGATGTAATTCCATGACTCAACAAATTTTTTGCCACAACATTTATTCCTTGTTCAGTGTGCTCATGGTGGGAGAAATCAAATCCAAAACCTCCTGTGGAACAAAATTACCATCAAAGTACTTCTCGCAAACTTGGTAAATATGATGCTATGAGAAAGTTTAAGCTCATCATTAAAGAAAACACTGACTTCTTTCATCTTACCTATATGCAGTGTTGAAATGTAAAGATACGGATGGGAAATGGGTAATGAAATTTATTACTAGAAAATTTCATTTTGGACTAATTGAACTTCTATAAAGCAGCTTTATCAAGAATCGACATGGAACAGAAAAAAAATGTATTCATCCCTGAAGATTTACAAGTAAAACAATAAGGATCGTAAATACCCATATAGAAAATTAGTGGACTAGTCACAAACTTCAAATACTCAACTTAGAAATTAGGATGAACATCCATGAATCCAAAAATATTGAAAAGTCACTTTTTGTTGTGCTGGTGTGGAAGAAGTAAAATTCTATTTCACCTCAATAAATTACTGCATAAATTCGAAGTTTTTTCATAAGTTTGTAACAGACTAATATCCAAAAAATACACTACATTGAATGTTTTAAAAGTCAATAAACAACATTGATATATTTCATGTTTTGAAACTTCTTTGACATCTGTCGAGGAAGTCTGGGAATAAAACGAATCGAAGAAAGAAAAACTGAAACTCATATTTGTTTTTTTCAATTCTTAAGATGGAGAAGGCAGATTTTGGCCTCTGAAACTGTAAGATAAGTATCTATCTAATTTTCTTAGCTCATTTTTTGAAAGGCAAAATTTTCAAATACGATGAATTACTAATAAATATCACATTTTCCTTTGTGAAATATACACTGAATTTACGTTGTTAACTTATCTGGGTGAAAAAGAAGTTTGCCCTTTCTACATTTATATAAAGTTCCCCATTACAATTTTTTGCAGATTATGGAAGGTGAAAAATTCACAAAAAGTTCAATGAAAACTTCATTGTAACATTCAATAACCTCTCATAAGGAAATCTTGAGCTATTCCTTCAATGTTTTTTGTTTCTTTAGTCGACTGCCTTCTGCATAGAACTTTGAAATGAACTTCTACAAAAAATCTTTTTTTTTGTATAACAAAATTTTTCTGTTGATTCATTGAGTTCAATCTAATAATTTATTAAACTTTTCTTTGATAAATTCACTGGCAATCCTTGGAATAGACACTACTCAAATGTTTTCCCTGATCAGAGTAATTATTAACTTGATAAACGTTGTTTTGGAAAGTTTCTCTAAAATCAGACTTACCATTTATTTGTAACTCAATAAATCCTGGAGCAATAAGATTTCCTTTGCAATCAACAACTACATCTGCTTGAACTTTCTCATCAAAGAATATCTTTTCTGGGTCGACAATTTTCCCATTTCTAACCCATATGTCTTCAGGAGAAATTTTATGATTTCTTAAAATTTTGCAGTTCACAAATTGTGTCAATCTTTCGGACATTTTTTACTTGAATCTATAAAATTCATCAACTCTGTTTCAACATATCAGAAAGTAAAAAAAATATAAAATAAAAAACATTCATGAAAATATATTCGCAACTAGAACATCAGCCGGTCACCATCAGAACAATCAAAATGTACTCATGAATTCATTACTCATGCGTGTCTTGCGATAAAAAATATTAAGCGATGTTGCCTAAATAGCTGAAATGTCAGCATTTTACAGAATCTACTATTTAGGTTGCACATGAATATCAGCTTAAATAAAAAAAATACGAAAGAATGTCGTGAGTAAATGTAATAATATACTTTTCTAGTGAGAGTATAATATCCTCAAGTGGGTATAGTTGTGGGCAATACTGTTTGTCTGTCAGAGAAAAAAGTAATAACTAACATTTGTATATAAAATTAATGGATTTCAAAACTATGATGTAATAAAAACGAACATTCTTAGCTTCCTATATAATATTTTATAAAAATACTCAACATTCAGAATAGTTCACTCGATATCTGGGGTGACGAAATTTTAATTGAAACCTATTATTGATATTTAGATAATGGTAAAAGATGCGTAGTTGGCAAAATTGCAAAAGTTGGAGGTTTTGGAATGCAAATAAATAATTTTGAGAAATTGTTTATGCTTCGAGATGTTCTCTAAAATATATTGTAAAAAATAAAATCGTCAAATCATATTTTTCTGCTCTGGCGCTCTCATATATCAAAGATGAATTCAATTATATTCAGTAAAGCCTGAAATCTGCATGTTTTCGATATTGCATAATCTTTTCATAGTTCTTTCTTTTATGATTGAAAGTAATTATCATCATACTAAAGATTTCCATTCAATTCCAAGAGAATTTATAATAACAATATACAGTTCTTTCTCATTATTCAAATATAGGATTTACCTGAAATATTTTTATAGAGAATATCCATATGTGCAATGTTTGGCAACACTGATGCCTGCTGATTATAAAAGAATGAAAATGTTATTGCCTGATAAACTTTTTATCTCTGATTGAATAAATCTTACTTTATTTTCTAGCAAATAGAAATTATCACCTTATCTTACGAATTTAGGACAATAACCATAGACAACGGGATATCGTTTATTTTTCAAAACCTATAGGTGCCTATCACCTTTGATATTAAAAAAGCGCTTTTGGAAAAGTGCCTACTCTTGAAAAGGTACATTTCCATATAGCGGTATCAGTTATTCATAATATCTGTTATTGAAAAAATTAGTGTGCTACTATAGGAGGGGGAGGGGGTTGACAAAAAATCTTACCCTGAAGTGTTTTGGGGGTGGAAAATTTTCAAATGAGAACTTAGGATAAAGAATAATAAGTAGGTAGGATTTATTCCATAAAATCAAAATATAATTTACATCGCAATCTAGAAGACTGCAAATATCTAAGGGATTATATTTAAAAAGGTAAAATCGAAAATAAGTGGAGCACTCCCAACAAACACGTGCCATCCTTTGTAGATTTGGGGAGGTCGCAATATATTGCCCAGATTCATTCAGAACATAAGAATTTTGAAACATCGCATTGTTCATAAAATTGGAAGTTGCTGAAATTACATTGTGGATACATATTCGAATGTAAATAACATGCTCGTTTTCAACACTCTCTAAGTAATTTCGAAATTTAGGTTGGATAAATGCAATGCTTTGTATATATGCATAGTATAAAGAAATTATTATCTTTATACTATGATATAGGTTAGTCTAGTGTATATACAAAGTGCATAGAAACCTAGCCTGGATTCGCTTTTGTTTTGTCAAAAACACGGAGAAATAAGATAAACCCACTTTGTATAGTCGAAGTAACCGATATAGTAATCTTAAAGGTGTCGGCTAAGTCAAAGGCCAAAAAAACCAATACAAACGAATTATGCCGCAACGAATTAGTCCACGTGGACTGAAGAATTGGCGGTTTGTATTGGATAATTTTTACTAACCGAGTTTTATGATTGGCTGAAGAGTCATAAAATTAAATTTTAAGTCATGATTGGAGACACGAACATCACTTACAACCTTGACAGTCCAGAACATCGAAGAAAGGTTGGAGATTTGTCACTTTTATAGATGTTTTCACGGGAGGTGTTCAAGTGACTGGGCACATTTGATATCACTAAGAGCGTTACATATCAGAAATACGCGATGGACTTTGGCTGCTCATCGTTTTGAGGTTCAACTCAGAGTACACCTCGAACTTCACTGTTTCTCCAGCGATTCAAATCCAACGTGAATCGCTATTTTCGTACGGGCATCGCTCTCAGAGCGCCTTAAGGATTTTCTTGTAGTGCTTGTGTTTTGTCCTTTCTGATTTTAGCAGATTAGTTATCATTTTTTTCAATGTTTGTTTGGATAATTTTTCGATCGATAAATTAAATGTCAATTTGATTGAAGAATGTGAATTCTTTTCAACTATTGAAAAACCTTCAGTACAATTTAAATAAAAAAAACAGTTCCAAAAACACACAAGCTCTTGCCACCCTGAATAACCAGAAATTTCTGAAATGTTTCATTAAATTTGTCGTGACAAAAGATAACACAATTTTCACAATTATATTTATTCAAAAACCAATAATATAACTTACAAATTAAAAACAACCTTCAGTACAATTTAAATAAAAAACAGTTCCAAAAACACACAAGCTCTTGCCACCCTGAATAACCATATGTGTAACACGAAGCGATATTTTCATGAAAGTAATTTCTGAAATGTTTCATTAAATTTGTAGTGACAAAAGGAAAAGAAATTAAAAATTGATTTTATATTTCGAAAAAGAAATGCAACTGTTCACAAAATCAAAAGGACAAACATTTTCGAATAATAAAAAACGAACACGTCAAATTACATAAAAGTAAATATTGAAAAATGCTAGTGTAAACATTTCATCTGCAGTACTGTGCAAAATCATGTTCTGTGCTACAACAGATAATCATGCTTCCGTTAATAAACAAAGTAAAAGTCTTTATCAAAGAACAGCATGTAGAAAAAACTTGTCCGAAATATAAATATAATACATATATAATATGCGATAAACTATGTATATTCATATATTGGTACTAGAATATTTTTAGGCAAAATAACTCAGTAATTTCCGGAATTGATACATCTATATCGAAAGGTTAAGCAGAGGAACAAGAGTGCTACTAATAGGTACACAGAGACTGGTTAAACCAGATGAGTAATATTATTATTACAAGTGATTGTTATAGAAGATTTGGGATCCGCACAGAACGTACTAGAACTCTCCATATTCTGCCCCGCAAATCTGGCATACTCTTTTGTGCATAAACCAAGGATTTCAGATACGATCTGCAAGGACCAGCATACACCGAAAAATATTTTCTATCAAAAACAGGTCAACTCGACTGCATTTATTGAAAGAGCCGGACAACACTCCAGATTCTTAACGATTAAAGGGGCACGAGGAGGATCTCAACATCTACAATAAAAATTCAAAATATTATTATCAAGCATATGGGCGCTTAAGGCATTCCCGTCTTTTTTGACAAAACGAACACATTATATTTAAAAACACACCATTTAATAATATCAGATATTCTATGTGCCTAGCTGATTATAGAACTTAGCGAATATTATTATTGTTATAACCTTATCACTAAAAATCTTTGGAAAGAGATAACAATTATTAATATTCAAAAATGTATACATTTTTCTTCTTAATTCGTTTAATATGACAGGACTAAGACACAGTGAATTTATTCGTTTATTATAAGACTATTGTGATTAACAAACATTTGAAGGATTGAACAGATACATGACAAATTTGAACATATATTGAAAGTTTGAAATTCAATATGGACTATAAAAGATATCTCGGTTGAAAAGTATGACTTCAACATTAACGTTATGAAATATTATCACCATTAAATATTTGAAAAAAAAAATAGGATTGAATCCGACATGACGTGGAATGTGAATAAGTTGTAATAAAAGTGAATGCTATTCAATCCTTGGACATATCAATGACTTGAGTCCAACATTTTTTCAGAACTAGAGACCAGAATACATTTTCACATCACCAGAAGCTTTTGTAAAGTATCGTATGGTCCCTGGTTCCGAACTTTTTGAAAATTTTGACGGTCCATGTTATTTAAAATGTTCCTAAAAATTTAGTACTGAAACAAAAACAATCTTTCAAATTCCTTGTTAATCACTTAATCTTACAATTGCACAACAAAAAAATAATGCTGGTTTCACAAATAAATAATATCCGTGTTCAAAAACTCGGCCGATAAAGAGAGGGATCAAAATATGATATGTTATCCATCCATACATTGAAAAAACATTTGTACTTTAAATGACTATATAAAAAGTGTCTAATCGAAGCCACGACTGGGACATTACAGGATTTTCATTTTGTTTTATAATGTATCAACCCACACAGCATTAAAATGTTTCAAAAAAATAAAATTGGAATAAAAAATATATTTATATATATAATATATATGGCAAGTACACTTTCTACCTTTCAATATCTTATTGCTTAAATAGTTAAATATATTTTGCATAAAAAATATTAAAAATCATAGGCTTTATATTAGGTATATTAGAATGAAATGAAAACGCATCACATTTGGAACACTGGAATTTACAAGCTAATAAAAGTTCGAGACTTTTCTCAAAATCCACAGCTTTGGAGTACCACTTGTGATGACCAAATTGCAAAATCTACTCAATATTATCCAGAATATTAATGATTTAAAAAAAAAGAACTTGAATGACAATGTCTACGTTAAAATGAAACATTTTTAAATAGATAAAGACACAAACAATTGACACTGACAATAAACTTCATAGACTTCATGCATTTCAAGATATAGATATGGTGGGATAGCATAGGATTTGCAAATTGTCTTAATATTAGAAATCAGCACTGACAAAAATTGAAGACTTCCGAATTTGGTATACAGATCATTATTTAAATTCAAAAAATGAATAAAGAGAAAAGCTGACAGTTCTCAGTAAAACCCTTGCAAATAATGATCTAACACCAACAACATAGAAATCCAAAACTTTCCCCAATGGTACAAAAAATATTTCATTTTGTACTTTAGAATTATTCTTGTACCATCTTAAAGCACTATACAGGTGATTTTCAAATATAGATGAAAAATTCAACCACAGAAGAAATAAAACTTGTTTTTTCCCTTCCAATAGAACCCTACGAGACTCGAAATAAAAACAATACATTTTTCATCACTGTGTCTTACTATTTACCTTCAAACATTTGGTTACAGTGGCATGAAAATGAAACAAGGAAGGTAAATAAAAGAAAAAGGGAGACTGGCATAAGAGTATTACACAATTGTTCGGAATAACATTGTAACACTTGATAAAAAATATATTGATCAATAGATAAAGCCTTTGCACAAGTGTGGAATTTTTCAACCATACATGACGAAAATCCTGTATAAGAATGAAATTATAAACAATATTCCCGAAGGTCTCCTATCCCTACTTAGACCTTTTTACGGCATTAACAAAACACTAAAGATACCACAATCTTACTCAGAAAAATGATCTCACAACCTTTAGTGGTCTGAAATAGTGATTGTTAAGCCCTGAATTACATGATTTTTTAGAACAGTTCTTATAGTTTTCCTTAAAAATAATGAAAGTATTTTGTGTTGATTTAAAAAAAAATAATTGACCAATGATATAAATTTAGTTGTTTGTACTATTCTTTAGATTTCCTACAAATGATTGTCATATCATTACCTCAAATTGCTCTGTGAACCCAATCCAAAGTTGAGAATGTCTTTATTTAATTTTTTCAGCATTTCACTGTTTCTACATTCATACAAAACACAATTTGTAACAGATAACTTTTTACACTTATAGAAAGGGCAAACTTTTTAATTCACCCCGATAAGTTAACTGCATAAATTCAAAGTATTTTTCATATAGAAAAATGTTTTAAATAACTTGCCGTATTTAATAATTTTGACTATCAAAAAAAGGGCCAAAAAATTATACAGATACTTAACGTTTTGGAAGATAAAATCTGCCTCCATTTTCAGAATTGTAAAACTGCTAATATACTTCTATTTTTTCCAATTCTGAAGACGGAGGCAGATTGTAGCCTCCAAAACGTTAGGATAAGTATCTGAAAAATTTCTTAGCATTTTTTTGATGAAGAGAACAAGTTTCTGATAAAATGAACTCTTTTTTTTTGTGAAAAATACTTTTAGTTTACGCAGTAACTTAGCAGAGTGAACTAAAAAGTTTATCCTTTCTACATATGTATAAAGTTCTCCATTACAATTTTAATATTTTTCAGATTTTAAACGGTGAAAACACCTAAAGAAAGTCAATAAAAACTGATTTTCTTATACCAATGTTTCAAATTTTGTTTTGAATGTTTTGTATACACAGTCATTAATATTATTATGTCAACGACAGTTGAAACTGATTACAGATTTCATTAATTTTTTATCTACTAATATTTAAGGGTATTGCTTTTTGTATGAATGTAGAGAAAATATAATAATAATAAATCATCTTTATATTCTTTCTGTACATGTTATGCAACTTTACTTTTTGCACTTGGTTACATCAAATTAGTATGAAATGAAGTATACATAATATTCCTAATCTTAACTGATTGAGCAAATTTAGTGGTATTATCTGGTTATATTATTAAACAGAGCATTTGAAAAGAATCAAATTCAACTCACCCAATTTTGAATAATTTATTTCTCAATTAAAGTATTTTTTGAATTTTGAAATGAACTGGCTCCTAGTTTTGGACATAAATTTCATAAGGTCGAATAAAAAGATTGGGCGAGGAGGGAGAGAATAAATCTTGACGAAACTACTTTTCCGACATACCAAACTGTAAAAAATACATTTCAAAACCATACATTTTGTTAATTGAGTTGGCATTAGACTTTTGTTATGTACCCAATCTATAACTAAATTTGATCCTCTGATAACTGGATTGAAGAACCATTGGTTAACATTAGTTTTTTTCACACTTCAAGTGCACGTGAAAAGTTATTTCGCCAGAAGTTGTAAGGGGTTTGCAATAAGTCGAGCATACTGGATTTTCATTAAAATTATCGACTAATTAATTGGAAATTAATATTTTTAGTAAACCAAACATGCGACAGATTTGGCACGGTGATTTAAATAGCTATAAAAAATAGTCTTCAAAAGGAAACAAGGAACATCAAATGCATTGTCTGAAATATGCGTAATTATCTTTGGACAAATAAATGATTTGGTATTTTTGAACTCTCATTGTCTGAAAAACTACTCAGCTCTAGAATTAACTAAACTACCTAAAATCTACTAAACAAAATAATACCGGAAAACATATATAACTCTCAGCAGCGTCGAAAAATACGCTGCAGAAATGGAATGATCGAATTTCTCACTCCAATACTGACTGAAAATACTTATTGCTAATGAATATTGGTGAGATAGTACATGTTAATAATATATAATATGTATATTATGATACTCAACGTAAAACTGAGAAAAAGTCAGCTTTTAGTCATGTAAATATTATGGCAAAAATTACTGGTATACGAGTATCTAAAAAACACTTGGTAAATACACTAAGACTTGTGATTGTAAAAATCATCAAAAAATTCTATCACATTGATAATATATATTAATTTTTAATTGAAATCAACCACGTTTCCATTCGAAATGTCACGTACTTCTTCCACGATTTATAATATAGTCGATTTTGTTGTTTTTTGATGATCGCTGAAGAAATACATAAAAAGTAACCTCAATAATGTGAGCAAATGCAATATACGAAGTATCACTAGAACTAGACTATCCAATAAATGTAAACTGAAAACTAATTTATATCAAAAGTAAATTAATATTTGGTAAATAAATAAAAAAGGAGTAAATATAAGACTATGCCAAATATTTCTTAAAGTGTGAGATTATTGACATCACATATAATTTTGAAGAACAAAATTCTCAAAGAGAAACTGTCCACCAGGCGAATAAAAAAAAACTTCGAAAAGTCGAAGAGCAAAAAAATATATATATGTACAATAAAAATAAAAATATATCTCTGTAATAAAATAAATTCAACAAGTGCGCCCATAAGATAAAAGCAAAAAAGCGCAATGTCAGAAATATAATGTAAAATGAAAAAATATTCACATTGGTTAAGAATAAAGCCCCGTTAGTTCATTGCCGTTCTGTCAAAATGCAAAAATTATAAAGTAATGCCATTCTTAATTCCATTCCCATAACTCAATAGTTGATAAGGCCAACTGGACTGCTAGTAAATATTTATGCACATAAAAAAACTTTCCACATATGCTATTGTATATAAATGACAATATGGTGATGTATTTTAGAGTTCAAGGTGAATGAAAAATTGTATTATATTCAAGATTCAGTGTTATCACAAACCTTTCAACAAAATATTTTTGAATAATACTAAAAAACTAATAGTTGAAAATACAAATAAACCATTTTTTCAAGTTTATACTTTTAAATTGCCCTTTTTGGCAGATGATTAACAATGGCTTTTTCCGATATTGCACTCAAAAAATTGCGACTTAAAAAAAAATGTGTAGTTCATTTTTTATCTCATACTTGTAACAAATGTTTTCACTTAAAGAAATAGTAAGAGTAGGTATTTTTTCTGTTAGGTGGATGAATCAAAATATATGTGTCAAGTTGAAAATGTGATTTGAATTCAGAAAGGAACTACTTGTTTGATCAACATGTAAATTTAAAAGATAAAGCACATAACAGGCAAGTTCTGTTCATTAATAGAGAAATTAGAAATATTCAACTAGTTTTTTTGGATTTTTGACTGCCTAGTTTGTCAACAAGGTCAATAATTTGTTACACGAAATGCAGATATCTTGTTTTATTTGGAGGTATTACCTATTATAAAGTCTCCAAAATAAGTCATGAGGATTTTTCTCTCATTTCATGTGTCTGTATAAGTACATATAAAATTATAAGAATCAATAATTTTTAATAATTAAGTCTGAAAACCAATTTTTTTCTATATAATTTTAAAAGCAACTGCAAAATAGTTCAATTGAAATAAAAAAGTGTGTTCTTATACATCATTGACCAAAGGGTAAAATTCTTATGAAGATAGACTAAACTAAAGCCTTTTCATAGACTGTTTGGGTTTGAAATAAATACTGTAGGACTTTTGAATCTCAATTGACCCCCTCAAAATCATTAATAATGTCCATCTCTCGAAAGTTGGTAAATATTGATTTTCTAGCAATTCAATATGTTGAAGGACTTGTGAAAAGCATCACACACTGTCTAACTTTATATAGGAAAAAAAAATATACTATAGAAGTGTAAATGCTATCGAGTCAAAATAACTTGAGCAATTATCAAGTGCTTGATGGACAATTAAAAGCGTTGGAAATAATAAGTTTCGATGGCAAGAACATAACGGTATCATCCGTACCTAAAACGGTACATGCATCCAACCTAAAACCAAAAGTGGACAGTTTCTCTATGCCGAACCAATAAATAGTGTATAAGATACGATTATTTTCAAATACATAAACAATCTGCCCTAAATTCGAGCAACTTTTTTTTGGGTATTTTTCTCTTTATATAATTATATACATATAATTTTAAAAACCATTTGTGGCACACACACGCTACCGCCGAAAAACAAGCGGTCATCGCGCAGCGCACAAAATAACAACAAGAGACTAAGGTCACAACTTATCCTGAAGATACTATTATCACAGGCATGGTTTTACCGGGCGAGCTCGACCGATTTTTCAGCTCGCATCGGTGATTTTTTCTTTTTTGTTTTTTTTGGAACACACACATACACTCGCTACATGGGAATTTCAGTGGCATCCGTCAGATTGTTACAGAATCACAAAACGCTAGCTGTTTAGGCTGTAACCTTAGGTCCTAACCTACATGGCACTGTTCGAGGTGCAAAAGATACACCACGAGGAAACGCTATCCAACCTGAGTAAAGTCATGCCAGCCTTGAAAAATATAATTGTCGAATATTAAACACAATATCGAATGACAACTGACAACTCAGTGAACCCGTCAAAACTATTTTCCAGGCCTCCTGACAGCACAAATCACTATGTTAGACAATACTAAAAGCAATAACAATGATAATTCGACTTCATTCAAAAGAAAAGGCGGATCCTGTTTTTCAATTCAATCACAATGAGCAAAATGTTTTGTTCAATATAACAACAAAAATTCAGATCCAAGTGATCATCTAGGATTTTTATAAAATTTTGGAGCCTTAAATAATAATACAATGAATGACTGAAGATTTTAAATGAATATATCAACAAAAAAAAAAACAAAAGAAACAAGATACTGATGCAACTCAAATATTTTTTTATATCATAGCATTTCTTTTTTTGTTTTATACATGTTTCTAAAAGATGCCCGAGGATCGATCTGAGTAGGAAATATAAGCTGCCATTTTTACATACGAACGGCGAATTTGTATTGACATTTTGGATAATTCTTTGTCATTTGTCAATGTCCCGTGGGGCTATGTACCATTTCTAACTCTTGATTGTTCGTTGTAAATGTTCATGTGCTGAAAACATAGAACTAATACTCTGGAATTTATTGTGGTGGAAAAGGTGATTGCTTTTTACACCAATTTATTGTGTAATAATTTGAAAAGGTAATCATTCTGGTAAACCTTCTGATGAATTTTTTAAAAAAGGTTTGTTGTGTTGCATTTCATTTGCAATACACTTGACAAATGATGATCATATGTAAAAAATGACGCCCTTTTAAATTTGTGCAGCTGGTCGTCTCACTCTAGTCGCATGGTTTTTATTTATTTATATGGATTTATACCAATACTCTTTGGTTTCTATGTATGTAAATTAGGATCTATAAATGATATGTAACACTTTTGCGTCAAGTAACACTTTTGCGTCACTGCAGGAAAAAATCTGGAAATCGCAACGAAAGAGCCCAAAATAAAGTTTTGATAGCTTACTTCGATAGCTGAAATGTTTTCCTCGAAAAAACAACTGAATATACCAGTATATGGAAAGAATTCGGGAGAATGATAAATCTAAATTAAAATATTCGAGGTCATTATTCACTCTTTCTCTTATGAACTTTGTTTACGTGGAGATTCATAAAAAATATAAAATATTGTTTTAGTAACAACATAATACGAAAGCACTGGAAAAACCAATAATCAACTCATGAAATGCAATTATGAAATACAGTATTTCCTCCTGAAAGGAAACGATTCCTGTAGAAATCATAAACCTTTCAGTTGACGGAATCGAGAGATTTCGACAAAATGTACAAATGATACACCAACTGCAAGTTACGATTTTAGTGAAATTATGGAAAGTACTTTGTATAGGATTTTGTCATAGTAACCAACATTGTAAACACTAGACGAGAAATTCTTTCCATTCTTGTATGTTCAAACAATTCTTGACTTTTCTTATTGGTATGAAACAGTTTTTATTTTTCAACTTCTGAAGTAGACATCCTATTCTGTCCGTAACCATTGCAATGAATATATATTATTTTTGTTGTCAGTTCATAAGTCTCTTGAGATGAAACCCTCACTGTGAATCCTGTTTTGTGTACCCATTTTCTTGAAAAGCTTTTTACTGATCGCAAATTCTCCAGATTCTTTTCGAATCCAATCGACACTCAGGCTGATAGATAGAAACAATAAAAACACTATCGGAGAAGCCAGATTTTTGATCCCTCGAAAAGATTAAAACATCTGGGAACATCTTTCAAAGCAAATGGATATACCAAAGAGGGTATACTGTGAGGGATTAACTCTTAAACATGGTATAATGGCAGATAACAAAAAATAATATGCGAGACAAACTTTTTCACCAAGGGTTATAGACAAATATGGACTTCTACTTGGAAGAATCATCATAAAATCTGTTTTTGAGCCGACGAATAAACTCGCGGAGCTTGTCCGAGAGTATTCAAGCAAAGGAGACATGACAGGAAGTATAAAAATTAAAATCATAAGAACTGCCCTAAGTAATATGAAAACTGCATCATCGAAGTATACTAGAGACTCCTCTAGTAATTAATCAGCCGAAAGCAAACAGTGGTCAGAAACATAACTTCAGAGAAAAAAGTTATCTTTGTACCACTATTGCGAAACACTCAAAAGGATAATTTTCGGAAAAGGACTTTTTGTTGTTAAGGTTGGAATTGTGTTCGAAAAACAGGTCCTTTAGTGTGAATTCGTTAATTATCAAAAAAAGTTGATTTGAGGGGCAAATGTCCACTGAAACTGTTGCCGGCGCTTGGTCTATAACCTCAATGTCAAAAAGACGCTCTTTGCCCTATTTTAACTTTTAAAATCTGATGGAAAATACGAACCCGCATATTGTAGACTAGCATTTTCATGAAATCAAGATTATGAACCAAGACTCATCATAATGTACCAAAAAAGGCCTAATAAAGTTGTCTTAGTTTCCAAGTTCGACATTTTTCAAGGCGACATGATGAATAAAAAACAAGCCACTCGCACGACCATACGCTCCAAGTCAGACACTCAAAAACAAAACTAAAAATCAACAATAGCGTTTAGTATATATAAAAAAAATAAAAATGAAAAATCTACTTGGCACATACAGCGTTCCAAACATTCAGTTGATAAAATAGTACTCAATCGATAGCTTAAAACGAAAAATAAAAATAAAAAAATTAGGAACCTTGCAACGCCTGTCGTTTCAAACAATCGAATTCGATAAGATGCAAAAAAACCAAAAGTGCTTCTCCTAAAAAATCAAATGAATGAAATAATAAGATATATCGATAAGTATGTGTACCACTACTTATTAATAGGTGAACGATGGACCACTTCGTAAGTCTTTGCGAAATGATCGATAAAATATTCAAAGTAACCTCTTCAAAAGAAATTAAAAAAGATTTAGACTACTTATGTAAAATAAAATCAGTTCAGTACTGTGTACAATGCGAGATCAAATCAACTTGCTCGGAGCTTCAAAGGATGTATAAGGTATTCAGGACCAGCACGTGATGATTATTTTTGGCAAGCGTTACTACATAGCCTTCAGAAGTAATCTTCAATCCACAGCACCTCGATACCTGAAACAAAATATTTTTATATAGCAAAAAAAGAACTACGGTTCAAAGAAACTAATTATAACCAATATCATATGGTAAAGAATGCCAATTTCAGTAAATCTTTTTAAATTGTTCACGTCCTTGAAATTCACCTTCAGTAGATTAGGCAACATCTTATTATTCCATATCAGGCTTTGTACACTTTTGTTTGAGATATCTCAACATATTATTGTGAATCATGCCCTAAAGAAAATAACGCCGGCCGCCACTGGTTACCAATCTTGACGTAACTAAGAGCGCATGAATGTTTCCTGCCGCTCTAGAAGCAGCGAGAATAATGCTAGATTTCGATGGAACTTCGGCGAAATTTCTACTGGATTCGATTACGATATATAAACCTAGCCAGGAGCATTTCGAGACAGTCAAGTGGAAGTTACAGTTCGGTACGTGAAGTGGTCCACTAAGACGATATACATTCAAATATTAGTTGAAGCTTTAGTTGAAGTATTTGTTGTATTGAAAATGAAATAAAGTTAAGTGGAATATAATAGTGTAATTTGGTGTCCTCTTTATTCTTGTCATAAAGAGAGGCTTGAAAAAGTGCAAAATCGCTTTTCTAAATATATAATTTGGAAACTTGGCCTATCCTACTTTGGATTTACCTCGCAAATGAGGCTGTCTGTATTAGATTTATTTTCACTTGAGGACAGACGTAAACTTGCAATGGTTCTATTCCTTCATAAAATAATAAACTTCCACTACAATTGTTCAGCTATTTTAGATGACCTCTGCCTTCTGTTAACTCAAGATCCTTGAGAAGCAATCGCATTTTTTCATTTGGGTTTCGATTCCACAAGACTAACTATGGCTCGATGGCAATAAGTTGTGGGCTTCAAAAAAATTTCAATACATAATTTTCAGAACTTGATCTTTTTCATTTGTCATATTTGAAATTCAAAAAAATGGCAATTAGACGACTTCATCAAGAGATTGTTCATTAAACCTCTGAATAGTTGTTTGAGTTTTTTTAAGCTTTGTAACCATGATTTATCATGTATACAATAAAGCATATTCTCTCTCTCTCTCTCTCTCTCTGAGTACCAGGCAGCACTGTTTTCTTAGCACTGTGTCTTAGATCTTTTTTTTGCACTGACGATAAGTAACACTTTAAAACCAGCCTGTAGGTGATCACTCGATCAATTTCAGCGAGGTCCTGATGCTATATGAACGGATATAATACGTAGTGATGCTTCCCTGGGTCATTACTTGGGGAAGTGTCTAGCAGACATTTGCCAGATTCTACCGAATAGAAACGATAGAAGAGGGGCCAACTTCGAATTTGTATTCAATCATTGTAAAACAGGGGTTTCCCGTTTATACTGAATAAATAAATAAATTCAAACATCAATCGTTGTGACTATTATGTCATCGCTGATGATTAGCACCACAGTTAGGGAACAAACGTCCAATTCCTTCTGGCAGTAAGGTCACTCTGGCCTCATTTATTATTTGATACAAAGTCAGATATGTTAGATATTCAAGTAAAAAGTCTACTTTCGAACATAGAACTTCTCAACGTGCTTTAAATTGTTATAGTTTTGGAGGAAATTCCAAGTGAATGTGTAAAAAAGGTAGGTCTGAAAATTTAAAATCGTAAAGGAGCAATGAAACGAAGGTTGAGTTAGAGCAAACTTTGATATCTGAAACAAAAGATGTTAGAATCATGATCTCAACACCATCTCTACTTCACTGCCCCTTACAATTTACAACTCTTCGATATATCCTGAAGGAAATTCCTCTTTTAAAAAACTAGAACATGCAATTTCAATCTGTACAATTATAATAATAATGTATTTCTTCATTAGTTTGACCTCACTGACATGAGCATTGTTCAAATTTTATCTCAAAAAGTGTGCACTTCTGAAGGAGTTCAGAATATGATAATCATTAAATAATAATAAATACAGAATGAAACTAACCTTCACATAGGGGCATTCGAATTCAGAAATAAGTGACCCATCTCTATTGAAAACGGCAACATGAAACCTGTTTCCATGTGAATCACCAATCAAGACATCTCCAGCATCAGATATATCGATACCGTTAGGAAAATTAGTCAAATTTTCGCATCCGATTCTGCGCAAGTAGTGACCATCCTCGCTAAATACAACAACGTTGTGTCCCTTGAAGTCGCAGACATAAAATTCCTTACCTTGAAAAAATTACATGCAACAATAATTTTGAAATACACATAAGTCAAAAATATTCAGGTACATCTAAGTACATCTTACCATGAATGGCAATGTCAGAGGGTTCTCTCATATAATCACTACAATCGAACCAACGAACGAGATCACCACTTTCTCCAATGATGAACACGGTCGGACTGACGCTGTCTACAGCAACAATTTCACTATGGCTTGTCACTGCAAGGCCAGCCACAATGTCAATGTAGCGAATAGCGATCTTCTTCAAGAAATGGCCATTTTTTGTGAAGATCTGCATGCGAGAACGTTCGTTTCCACGGTCGCAGACTACATATTTTCCAGTTGATCTCATGATCGCTACTTTACGAGGATACCACAACTGCCCTTCTTCTTTTCCAGGTATTCCAAATTGGAATTTGAATGTTCCAGTTTTCTCAAATATCTAGACAATAAAATTGTTATTTTTCTAGAGGTTCAATGTTGGAACTTACTTATTTTCATTTAGACTGCTATTTAATAATTATTGGCCTTAGAAGAATATGTCAATATTAAGAGAGCAAATCTTTCTAAGTTACATTATCAAAAAATATATATTTTACAAAGTTATTTTAAACAGAATCAAAAACGAATCATATTTTGCAACAGTGGTACAATTTACAAAAACATACATAAGTTACCAATGGGGAATAAAGGGATTTTCTGATTTATTCGGTCGTTACTTGATGAAGATCCATAGTAATTTCAAAAACTACACCTCAACGATTTGATCTCCACAAACTTTATTTGAACAATATATCACATGTTTCGCTAAGACATTAGCTTTTTCGAAGGATTTGACTTGAACTTGAGAAAGCTAATGTCTTAGCGAAACATGTTGTGATATATTTTTCAAATAAAGTTTGTGGAGATCAAATCGTTGAGGTGTAGTTTTTGAGAATAGAGGGATCTTTGCTTTTCTTATTTTCGATGACATGGGGGCCAGGGAGGGGTCTAGATGGTAGTTACGTCAGCATTAAATATTCATTATTCATGATTTGTTTGCAAAATTTAATAGATCCTACTTTGAACATGTTGAGAGTGACTGCAGAATCTGGTATTAAAAATTGCCTGTACTTTTGTATTAGAAATTATGAAAACTGTTCATTCACCAACTGATGTAAAACAACAAACTCCATGGTAACACATGGATACGTAGATACAGGTAAACAAAAATAATAGTTTATTATACCTACTATGTAGGAAGGGAAGACTGGCCTGAATGAATTGTTCCTTCAGATGATTTCTTTTCTACCAGTTTATTTCACGTTCTCAAACTGTGTTTTTGTAACCCAAAAAAATTTCTTCAGTTCATGCATTTATTTCATTATAATCTCAAACAGAGAACTCTGGGACAATAACCTGTTGAGAATGACTGAAGAATATGGTATTAAAAATTGGCTGTACTTTTGTATTAGAAAGTGAGTCCTCCATAAAAAATGTCTTTCAGAGAATTTGAAAACTGCTTTTCAATTAAAACTGTTTATTTAACAACTGATGTAAAATAAATAAAATATGTGAATGAATTGGCCGATACTTGATTCCAACACATATATATCAAAGTTTATATAAGCATACAGGGGGCGAGAATTTTAATTATTTTCGCTGACAATGTGGAGGGTGGGTTACTTGAGCGAGAATTTTTATTATTTTCGCTGACAATGTGGAGGGTGGGTTACTTGAGCGAGAATTTTGATTAGTTTCGCTGACAATGTGGAGGGTGGGTTATTGAATGACCCGTTAATGCAGTTTAAATTTTACAAATGGACTGAGAAACTTTCTGATATTTTTCAGACCCTTTTGGAAGGTTTTTTGAAACAATATTAAAATTTAACACAACAATCAACTAAAAAAATCAAAGTAAAATTTCGAGTAAAGTTACTGATAATAAAATTACATTAAATACAGGCTGGACTAGCCACACCACATAAATATCAGTTAAAAATATTTTAAATTTTCATTGGAAAACTTGTAATTATCCATGATAATAATAAAATAATTTTCACAAACATTTTTTATTACTAGAAGCGATTCGCTAACACCTTAACTACCGAGGAAGCCAGCAAAACACGTCTAGAAAAAAAAATGGGAAAATTTTTCAATTATTATCATGGGTAGTGTTATTAATTTTCATCAAGTAACAAGTCAATCTATTCGTAACTGTCGTCATGATTCATCTTCTGAGAATGATTCAAATAACATAGATAGAAAAACAAATTCGCAGCTGTACCTGAATTCGATGATTATTTGTATCGGCCACAATGATGTCTTCTTCCAGTCCCAAGCAGAAGCCGTGCGGAGAATTGAACTGTCCTTTGCTGGGTCCCAGCTGACCAAACTTGCAGCGAATCTGCATTGGACTTACTTTATTTGTGCGGGGCACCGAAGGATTCGAGTTGGTTCCTGTGGAAGGGAGAATATTGGTCAAAGGATCAGGGATAATATCATCAGGTGTGGATAGTAAAGGAGACGTAGATGTGGATACACCGCTGAAGCCATTAATGAGATTATTCGTTAAATTTAGTGATGCAGCTGATGTAGAACGGACCAGTATGTTATTTCCATTGGGTATGGCATCTGAATGATAACATTTGTATTAAAAAATGGAAAAAACTGGAAAAGGTATATCGTGTATTCAAGTTACATAAGAAATTACCTATGGCCACATAATACATTTAATTAGTACCATTATCGTTAGTTTTTCTACTAGAAATCGTTCATATCTACAAGACTTGTCGTGTCAGTGATTTCTAACATTTAGGATACTGTTTCAATTATCATGTAGGTACATGAACTTTTGATTCAGGTCCCAATAATTAATGTGACATATAGTGGTTAACATTAACAAACATCTGTATATATTTTTATTAGCTGATTTTGGTTCAAGAAAAAAACAAATATGTGAGAAACATGACACAAACTCAGAAAATGAACAAATTAATAAAATTTCAAAAGGTCGTTCAACAACACAGAAGAATCATGAAGTAAAAGTATTAGAGTAAGATCCCAGAGCGATCAGACATAACTTATTTTCACACAGATGAAACCTTAGAGTCTCAGTAGCGTCTCGTTGTTTTGAATACCTGCGTGTTTATGAAACTTGCTGAGTGACACCTGGGCAGGTACCAGGTGAGAAAGGTAACTAAAAATAAGAGCTACTCAACTTAAATTTGTATAACTGATTTTTATACATATTTTGTAGAATATTATTTTGAAATACTGTAATAAGTGTCAGACACTTGTCATGGACCAGAACTTTTGTCAGACGCTTTAAAGCTCCACTAAAATTAAATGAACTTTACTTACTTTTACATGTCTGATTTTTAAATATGTTATTAATGTGACTATAATAAAGTTATAATTAATCAGTCAGACAAATTAGAATGACCAAACATCCCTCAAACACAAAAATNAGATTGAAACAGATTGTGAGTTAAAGAAGGAGAACCGAGTTATTATGGACGTCTCACTCACTCTGAAATGCACGCACAGCACTCTCGCGCTCATACTTCTGGTTAACTAATTTTTGTGTTTGAGGGATGTTTGGTCATTCTAATTTGTCTGACTGATTAATTATAACTTTATTATAGTCACATTAATAACATATTTAAAAATCAGACATGTAAAAGTGAGTAAAGTTCATTTAATTTTAGTGGAGCTTTAAAGTGTCTGACAAAAGTTCTGGTCCATGACAAGTGTCTGACACTTATTACAGTATTTCGAAATAATATTCTACAAAAAATGTATAAAAATTAGTTATACAAATTTAAGTTAAGTAGCTCTTATTTGTAGTTACCTTTCTCACCTGGTACCTGCCCAGGTGTCACTCAGCAAGCTTCATAAACACGCAGGTATTCAAAACACACGAGACGCTACTGAGACTCTACAGTTTCATCCGTGTGAAAATAAGTTATTGATCGCTCTGGAATCTTGGACTATATATCAATAAAAGGACAATTGTAAACAACAGGATTAAGGATTATTGAATGGTGATATGAAGAAAATGGAGAGAAAATACGTATAAAAATAATATTATGAGAAGCATAAAAGTGTTACCTGATTCAGCAATATATCAATTGTGAATCTAACATTAAAATAAGCAGCAGTAGAATATCAAATTTTAATTTTTCTTCACAGGAATTTCTATCTCTTTTTACAAGCTTATTATGCTCTTGTAAAATTTTTGAATTAGCAAATATTAGAGTGATACAAATGAAATTAGGTGAATTTCAGTGGTCTCAAATGTTGAATTTGTATTTTTTAATTCATACACATACCTTTTTTTGTATAATTTATGTTTTATATCTTAGACACTTATACATTGTACAACAACATATTCGAAAAATAAACTTTTTGGCTTTCCACTTCTCCATCTTTATACAAAAAACATGGGAAATTTTTGAAAAAAGGAAGAAAGCAATTAAATTCAAAAATTCTTCACAAAGATGTGTTGATGGTGCATAGAAATTAATCTCAGATACAAACTGGAAAAAAAACCACAAAACAAATACTTTCAGCTGAAAACTAGTTGCAAACTTGATGTTTCCCATTATCATTTTACCATGATTCAAAGAATAAAGAATATAATTTTCAATTTTTATAAATTTTAGTACTGTGGGGAATAGGCTAGCAGAAAGTATAGTAAAAGGTAAGAATTTTAGTCAAAAAGCACCCAAAACGAATTTGCACTCTTTTCATATTGAATAAACCTATGAAGATGAAATAATTGACACTATTAATGAACTCAGAACTAAAATACCCAGGAGAGGATGGCGTTACTTTGAAGTTTTGATAACATCAAGTGATATAATAGCAGACCAATGACCCATTTAACAAATACTATCCTACACACAGGAATATATCCAAAATTATTGAAAGTTGAAATAATGAAAACAATTTTTGAAGGGGGTGACAAAAGTAATGTGAAAGATACATAAGATTCATATCTCAGTTTATTGATAATAAGGTATGTATTCTGAAGTAGGCATTATTGTATTTATCCATGAATAAGCTTATATCATTATTATTATTGTACAAATCTACTGCTACTCAATACTAATTTTTTTGTTTCATACCTAGACTACTAATTTAATCTTTATCTCATGTGTATCGGTGAATCCTGTTGGGAAATAATTTTTTATTCATTATTTATTATTACTACTAACTCAACTCTAAATCAGAACAAAACAGAAAAAATTGCACTCATCATGTCATGCCAATAAAAACTTACCAGATGCAGTGAGTCCCAGTTTGGCAAGGGAAGCAAGGTTCTTGTAGGCAGTATCATTATTCAGTAAATCAACCAAATTGAAAGGCCCTGGAGAAGGAGAAGTAGCGGCACTGTTGGTCGTTTCTGCAAGAGTGGCAAGTTGTGCCAAATTATATTCGGCAATACTGGAAAATCCTTGTAGAGCAGTTGAATTGACATTAGGTAATGGAGGACTTTGAGTAATAGAGAAATTTTGTAAATTGTTGCTTAAATCTCCATCAAAAGAAGACTGCATAGATGCTAGCGATATAGGGCTGTTCGTTACAGATGGTATACTGCAGCCGTTTGTTATAATCGTAGGTGTGGTTGTGACTCCGTTGATATTGAGGGGTGGTAATTCTGGTCTTATTGAAACGGGGCTAGAAGCTGTCGAGCTGATGTCACTTTCTGTTACAAATCTTCCAAACTGATCTTTGGTAACTTGCTCAAACTCAGAAAAATCCGATTTGAATTCAATACTGTAATAACCTTCCATCTTCGGTGATTTCGCATTCAACGCCAGCATTCTTGAAATTACAATTTTCCTCAAGTACATCATTTCTGGAACTGTAGCATTCTCCAACAACTGGCTAGTGTATTTGCAGGCGTCCACCATGTTGTCAATGGTTTTCTCTAGTTCATGGGTCTCTTTCATGATTTTCAATTCTCGGTCGTGATACAGCTTATTCAGGTCTTCCAAAGCGGCGTCCCTGCATTTTTCAAGAACGGCTTTATAGCTTTGGTAAGACTCTTTGATGAGGTCTCTTGCATTTGTTCGCTGTTGGGATAGCTCTTCCATATTGTTGTTGACACTAGCAGAAGCTTTCCTAAGCAATTCGATTTTTTCTTGGTTCTTTACCAACAAAGACTCCATTTCTTGCCGAACTCTGGTCTCGGAATCTAATATGCCTTCACACTGGTGACCCTTATGATCGGTTTTGGAGCATTCTGCGCACACAGTAATACTGCAAACTGTGCAATTGTAGATTATGTTCTCTCCAGGATGCATGTCACATTCCAAAGGTTTGTGAACTGTAATTTTGGTACCATCCTTTCGCATATCATCAAGAGCAACAACTTTATGAGATTCAAAACAGCGCATATAATGATGAGCAGTATCGCAGTTATTGCAAAGAAGATTGTGGCAAGTGCTGCACCTGGACTTTGCCACTTCCTTTGCTGTGCAAGATGTGCAATGTAAGTTGGACGAATTGGAAACATCAGATATATTAGTTTTTGTCACGTCGAGAGGAAGAACAGCTAGTTTTTTTGTACCAACCTGAAAATAATAAATTTTAGGTGCAACATTTTACAGAATTTGTCACTTTGTTCCAGAAAACTCAGTGGAAAATGAAAAAATAATGAAATTATTTTCAAACTATGATTTTATGTTTACTGGCAAAAATGATAATAGATTTTTACTAATAAATCAATAACTGATTTCTTTATTCATTATAGGTCCCCATAAATATATAAGTTGTTTATATGAAATTGTATCCTTGATAAATGACATCTTTCTGAGAAGTCAACAATAATAACAATTTATGAATTCACTAATCTCTATAAATTTGCATTGTTGCAAAAAATTTATCAAGTTTACAGTTGAACTACATTTCAGATTGCTTTTGATTTTTTTCTATTGATGAACTACATTATCAATGTCACACATCTTCCTGTAGTAGATCTGAATTGTTGCGAAGTTGTTACTCCAGGCAGATTTTTGGATACCAAGTACTTTTCAGTGATGAATTTTCGATACTGTATCCCAGCTCAGGATCTCATATCTAGGTACTTATGAAAAAAAAAAATGATATGCCTCAGTGTTTCGATTTGCTTCATTGACAGCATAAGTAGCCTTATTCAACTTACAGCATTTTACTAATTATTTATCCGTTCAAAATAGTGATACCTGCTGATCTTGGCCACTACAATCAACTAATTTCAAAACAGTTGGTATCCAAACATGTAATTATGCTGTTTGCATACTTTTGTCAACAAGTGCCTTATTCAATATCTAAATTAAGAATTGAGAAAATTCAGGCACCTACTGGATGAATGATTGAATAATAATCCGCAGTCAAAAAATTTAACAAATCTGAGGTTTTTCTGAGCTATTTTTGAATGAGGGAGGAAGGTTTTTTTATAGGAAATTTCGTCTTTTTGAATCTTTACTCCAATTTGAAAAACGTCAAATAGTTTTTGAGATATCATCCTGTAACTACAGGTATCAGTCCCTTAACAAGTCTCATGCAACTGTATAAAATAATACATGTAATGTGTGCTGAACTGGTGCTAACTCATGATCTTTCAAAAAATCACTACTTGATACCTTACAGTTGGGTTTATTGTTTTACTGATAACATCTCTTTTATTTCTGTTTCTTTGATCATTCTATGTTTGTCAATTATTAAATATCTGCCTATATCAACTTTTTTTTTGACCAATATTTATTTAGTGCAGATTTTATATTTAGTAATTTTCCTCTGTAGTAATAAAAATAATCTTTAATCAACTTTAACACTTGAATATCTAATGACTGTTCAGTGAGATCTGACTGCCTAGTTCCAAAGGTACGTTTTTTTAAATCAAAACCAATAGCTATTTGACAAAATTTACACATGGAAAAGATATTCATTATATTCTGTAGTCTATCTGGCCATCCATCAATCTTTCAGAGAATGTTGAGATTATCTCTAGAACAAGATGTTTATATGCAACTCTGAAAAAGATTCAAAATGAAAAGGACCAGATAAAACGAAAGTAACGTCAATATTTATTCCTGAATACTTCGACTTGACTGAAACAAAATAAGAAGTTGATATAAAACTGTCAATTTTGGATAGATACAGTAACAGATTGCTTGCAACCACAAATAAATACAGCAATTCCTCAGTATCGATTATTAAAAAAAACTATAAAATCAAATTGAATTGAACATGCAGTAATGAGTTGGTACGACAAGTTTGTTTGCATCACAGGTATCAATAGTCCTTCTTAATACACATTTTTTATATTCACATGGGTCAACCATGTTTTTATTACTGTTTTTGTACACAAATAATGGAAAATATCGAAGCTGAAATAAAAAACAGTGGAAAATATTGAATCGCATTATCTTAAAAAAAGACCTTAAAATTTCAATTACTTATATTATTAATATTATTCAAGATCAATTTCTAATGTCACCATGAATTTTCAGTTTTTCAGATGTCATAGTATTCAGATAAAATTATTCAATAATTATTTACTTGTTTGAGGGTGGTTGACAATGTTTCATGGTGCATTTCATTAGTTCGGACTTTCATTGTCTAGTATGATATAAATTGATTTGAAATCCCTGGAAGAATCTGTTATCACCCGAAGACGATTGTGGATACTAACAATCGAAACGTCGTGAATTAACTTGGTTTGGAATCTTTTAATTTGTGATTTTCATTTCTTGTTAATAATTTTTTTAAATTTTCATTTCGTGTTAAGTAATTTTTGTTTTGTTTTTTGGTTTTCATTGCAATTTCAGTTTTTCTGCTTAATATAATATATAATCTCCATCAAAAGAAGACAACATAGATGCTAGCGATATAGGGCTGTTTGTTACAGATGGTATACAGAAACTATTGCTGTGATAGGAGAGTGTGGATATTAAAATTATTAACTGATTTTTTAATATGATCCTATGTTTAGGTAAATTGAAATAATTCCTGAAAATCTACATTTTTTGTATAGCTGTTTTCTAATACCTGTAGATTATTTCATAAAAAGGGGGATTCTTAAAGCTAACTCAGTATATTGAATAAAAAAAAACACAGTCCATAAAAGACAAACCACATTCACATCATTGCATTAAATATTTCAAATTTCATACCATCATTTTCAAAAATTACACTCTACAGATTAAACAGTCAAGCTCTGCTTGCCTCTAACCTCTAACTCATTCAATTCATTGTTGAAATTCACCATGCTAGTCAAATGACTACCTCTCATTCAGTTGTTAAGGGAAATCAGCCATTGAAAAGGGGGGTGATTTTAAATCTTCCCATTTCTTGAATTACTTATACAAACTTTCAATTATAATTTAAACTGGTTGGGTGACCTCTCTAGTATGATTTTATGAAATTAGTGTGTAAAATTAAGAAGGTAAGCCTTAAAAAATAATCTAACCATTGTGACATGGCTGCAAGTTGGGCAAACTAGAGAAGCATCCACAGCTCCAGCATCTCCAGCACTGTTAACAAGCTTTTTATCCAAACACTCCTGGCAAAACACATGTAAACAATGCAGCATCCTAGGAACCACCAAGGGACCCCTGAAAAATACATATTGGGTTATGTGTCAAAAAGACAAAAATGTCAATAATGCACTCACCCACACATGCCACAATTATCTGGGTCTGCCAATAAGGCATCCCCCAGAGGTTTCTTATCAACACTGTCGAACATATTCTCGTTCATGTCGTCAAACTCTTCAGTTATCGCGATGAAATCCTTCGATTCTGAATTGCTTTCTTCAATATTTGTACCCATAGTTACACCGAGTATTGTGTGACACCAAGACACGAATTTCTTTTGATAGTAGGCCTCTCAATCACGAAATTTCAATCCCGTGAAAAGCTAATCTGAAACAAAATTAGTATATTCAAAGCACCAGTTATTTACAAGAGAAAAGCATACCATTTTACCACCATTGAATGACTGAACAGTAGAAATATCAAGTCAAAAGTGAGTCTGATCATTAAACAATTTCACTTCTGTTTGAAGTATGAAAACGGTACATTTTTCCCACTATTTCTACCCCGAAAAAACTGAAAATGAATACATTAATCACTAAAACTTACCTTTGCCATGATGAAATAAAGTTTAGCAAATGGCGCGTATTGCGTCTAAGCGCAAGGGCAATGGGTTATTGAATATTGGCAGAGGGGGAACGTCAAACATCCGCAGGACCCGGGAAAATCAGAATGTTCAATATTCAACTTTATTATCAGAAACAATAAAGAAAATATTCCAGAACAACAAATACTGAAGTGCGTTATCACTCATATCAATAAATCAAACTTTAAATACAATTTTGGAGAAACTGTGCAACAATGGTTATTGTCGTAATTACCATTGACATTTCAATTAACTGCACTATTAGGCAATATAAAATACTATGTAAACTTACCGGGAAAAAATGTGAAAATAGGAAAAATTCGAAAAACCATCAAATAAAGTATAATAAAATCATGGAAAACAAGACATAAACATGTTAGTTGTTGATAAAATGCCTACTACGATAATAGACAGAATGAAAATATCGCTCATATATGATTGTCATTAAAGCAGAGTTATCATTCGATTATTCAAATTGATATATAGGGAAAAAATCGATCAGTTAGGGCGCTAAACTTTGTTCGAAAATGGTGTCCCGTCTCATTTCAATTCACTAATCCAACTCTAAAGGTCAGTTCCTTATTTTATGTTTCAAAGATGTCATGAATCTTGAAGAACATATTTTTTTTCTATCATTAGTGAAAGTTTTCAAGTTATTAATTCTGAAATTAACCGATGAGACCACCGATATGGATCTGATGGATTTAAAGCAAATCATCAGAAAATTTTTGTTGAATTTAGGAACTCAACTCGTATTTTACTTGAAAAAGAGGTGTCATTTCATGTTATTACATTGCCTATGAGTTTTTAACGTATTTTTATTAAAATAGGGTAGCCAACTATACAACACCAAATGCTTACTCTTTTGTCAAGTGGAACACGATTCATTGTTCACGGCCTTATTTCAACTGATTTTCAAAAACTGAATGGAAATGAATACATTGAAAACGATATTCAAACAGCACATACAACTGAAAAATTTATAATAATAAATACGATAACTAATAATCATAAATATACAAAGTAGCCAACTTCAAAAATACATTGGTTCGTAACGAAATCCTTGTCTATTTTGGTCATGTTTTTTTATTGTTCTGTGACTCTACTAGTCACTGATATTTGACGGGAACTTATCAGGATTCATCGGTTCAAGGACTCGATGTAATCGGTGGGATTGATCGATAAATACTAAAAGCGTTCGCCATTTGAACTCTCAAATGTTGTCACACAGATGAGACTTGAAAGTTTTGCGCGTATCTACTCTGAATAATCAGCTGGATACCTATTTTAACCGTTCAAGAATCGTTCGAACTGCGAACCCGAATACACGTACTAAGGACAAAATGAACAGATTGATGAAAATATTCGATTGAAACTACTGAATGAAGGAACGAATAAATTTAGTTCTTCTATGAGTTTTGATCGGTGAATAAAGGAACACGTGTACAATAAGAACCCTATTATTCCCCAAGCAATTTTAATTTTCGTATATTCAATAAATGTCACTTTCTCTAAAACATCATTCATCAGCAAAACATTTCAATAAGATATATTGGCCGATACGTGTTAGGAATCACACGTTAAAAGGTAAGACCTCGTTGGTCCTTAGCTCGCACAAGTTTTTCAACTTCTGAGAGTTGTCGTTCGTATGGGGGCGACAACTGATTAACGGAAAAACAGATTTTAAACTTGTTGAAAAACCTTGACGTATTTAAATATCACTTTATTGCGAGACTTTCAGTAAGTGAGACGGACAACAACTGCAGCACGTGCTATGCTATACAAAAGCTTTTTCGTGCGTTTTCGTATTCTATGACAACGTTCGAGATATAAGGTTTAAAAAAAATCTGTTTAAAATCTGTTTTTCCGTTAACTTGCTGTCGCACCCCTACGAACGACAACCCTCGGAAGTCGAAACTTGTGCGAGCTAAGGATTAACGAGGTCTTACCTTTTAACGTATGATTCCTAACACGGGTTGGACGATAGCAATTGAAAATCGATCGTTCAGACTGGGGCTTGAACCACCGACCAACACGACACTCAATTCGGGTGAGTGAACAAAGCACCCACGTTGAACCGCCTAGCTACCGACCGAGGTGAATCTGTTACTTACATATATGTACAAAATGAATTTGAAAAGAAGAGAAATGAATACTTTCAAATAATTTTTTTCATAAATGAACCATTATTTCCAAAATTAAGATTGCTACCGCAAAATATCAATTATTTATAGCATATACATCAGTTAATAAAAAACCTAAAGAAAATATCGAAAATATTTTCGGATATTATTGTAATTTAAGAGTGGTGCCAGAACTTCATGATCTTGTGCACATGTTTTGTGGTATCTTGGTACGTAATGCCATGAAATAATCTTATTCACATTTATCCACAAAATGCACAACTCCAAAATAATGCATGCAACAAAATAGCACCTACTGATGTGATGGAAATAGGCGAATGAAATGATGTAACTATATTTATTAAAACCCTACGTCAGAGCAGTAGCGTTCATCCAACTCATTTTGATATGAAGCGCAATTTCGAACGAAATTCAAGATTTAGAATACCCATAAAAACTTTATAAGACCGTGTTCAACTCAATGAGTGGAAGGCCAATATCCTTAACCCAGTTTCAAATGGATTATGAAGTTGACAAAATATTATGTGATGAATTGATATTGATGGATGTAGCCGTTACTACGTGGTAGGAAATCATAATGAAGAAAAGAGAAATGAAACTTTCTGAGTTTATTGTATAAGTTTGAAAATGTCCGTATAGGACGAAACTGCAGTAACGTTAGTTACAAATGAAAGTGGTAAAAAACATAGAAAGTTTAATTTCTCTGTTAGAATATTTGGGAAGCATAAAGTTACAATCGTTGTTCTAGATATTCTAGAACAACGGTCAGTAACAGGCGGACCGCGGTCTGCAGACGGACCGCAAAATGATGAACCTCGGACCGCCAAATATTGTAATGTGTTGTATACCAAGTATAAATTGATACGTAGATAACGTATACCATACCTTTATTAATTAAAATAATATTTTTGAGTCACGTATAATTCAACTTAGTACTTTTATTTCAGTAAGTTGCCTAGTTACCCTGTCTTACAAGTACCTAATACCAACTAACATGGTTCAATTAGTTTCCTATCTAGCCTGTGCGTATGTGTTTGTACGAATTAGTTGATGTTGCGGCAGAATGGACAGATGTGGCTGCCAAGTTGTTGAATCCGTCAAAGCCATCACTTCAAATAAAAATAATTGATTTGCGAGATGTGTCTTTGCAAATGTATAAAACGGTATCCACTGAATAATTTTGGGCCAAACATGAAAATTGCAAGAAACTAGCTATAAATTAGACCACTATGTTTGGCTCAACATACCTATGTGAAATATCTTTCTCAAAATTGATTTTTTTGAAAAACATATATCGTTCGATATTAACGGACGCACACCTAGAAAACACACTTGAATTTGCTATTTGTATCGAGAACCAAACTATAAAAAACTGGCTAAAGATCGTCAATGTAGTTTATCACGTTAATTTCAGGTCTTGTGTTTTATAAGTCAGAATTTGATTTGAAACCAAAATAATACATAGGTAGCACCTGATTATTATCCATTGATCTTCTGGACCTCGTTAAAATTTTCTCAGTGACTTATTCATTTCTAATCATACGATTTTGTTTCTCGAGTAATTATTGATGCAAATCGCATATAGGTATTGTTGGTAATCATGCCCTAAAGAAAATAACGCCGGCCGCCACTGATAGTCATAAACCAAAATTGTGATGTAGCTAAGAGCGCGCGAATGTTCGCTGCCGCTCTAGGTGTATCGAGAATAATGCTACCGGCTTCGATAGAATTTCGAGAAATGTTACAGTGCCTTCGCCAAATATAAGCGCCATCCACTCGCCCATCGAGACAGTCAAGTGGAAGTTACAGTGCGATACGTGGAGCGATCTATTTTGAATAATGGTTGAAGTTTTAGTTGAAATGTTTGTTGGATGTATATGAAGTGAAATAAAGTTGAGTTTGATTATTGTTCGATGTAGTCAATTATTGATAAACCCCAGGGGAAAACGAAACAGTATCTTCATTGCAGTAGTTAGAGAATAGGATTACTTTTGAAGTGTAACAGATACACACCCCCATTAGTACTATACCGTTAGTACAGGACTGGCTTTCTATCAAAGCAGATAGGATATAATACTTCTCCATGATTTTAATATTTTAAATACTGTTTGGATTAGCACCTCCTCACTTCAACCAGTTTATTAGTTTCCAACATGGAATCCACGACTATCCCACAAGAAACAATTAAAAATTATTTGTTCCTCCTACCAATTATTCCCGAACAACTAATCTCTACTGTGTCATAGAGGTCTTTCCGAATACCTACTATAATCTTCCAGCAAGAGTCAAAATTCTATTAGAACTGATTGATCACTTAAGAGCGAGGTTGTCATGAGACGCATTTTTATGATGAGCTAGTGTTGCTTTGAATAATAGTTTTATAATCTTCGTGCAACCGTCGTGGCTCTAATTGAAAAATTTCACATGCATTATGAGGATAACATAAGTTATCGATAACGATAAGTTTGCAGACCTGGTCATTAGTTTTCGACTAAATCAGCCCCTATTATTTTTGAAGACGAGTACCTCAAGCGCTTCCCTGATATTCTCAACTTCCACAATGTCGAGTGGCAGAATGGCAGCTTGAGAAAAGTCTGGATATTCTTAATAATGTTGGTTAGTCTATATATAAAGATGTTATCTCCGGCACGATGTATACTTTATTAGTTGCCCCAAAGATGTCGCTTATCGGTGTACTGGCAAAATTGGTCCTTCGGGTACATATCCATTATTTTTCGATCCTGTCACCTTCCACTCATCACTTGAATCATTGCATGAGTTGCAAAGTCATTAGGAGGTTTTCCAATTGACTCCAACATTCCATCATTGAAACTGTTCAAAATAAAATTTAGAAATTCTTCCGCATCTTGCTGTTTGGTTGTTCTTGGAACTTTTATCCACTCTCTTGTTCGATTAATGACCCATTTATTTTGTAGAAATTCATTTTAAGTAAGGGAGAATGGTTTAATAAACCAAAACCGGTTATAACAAATGAAAATCGTAGTAGAAATTAGGCAAAAGTTATTTTCTTTATCCTATATTTTATACTCTCCTGTCTTTCGTCCCAATGTTGTAAGGTGAGTAGTCAGACGACACATTCCATCTATAACTGGGA